TTTAGTACATTTTAAACAAATAAAGGAGTTTTAATTATTTTTTCAAAGAAATTTAGCAATGCTTTTTCACAAAGACCTATTATTACCTATTATTGTTACTTAGTTAGGTTATGAAACCTACCTAGTTATTAAATTGAATTAATAATATAATAAAATAATAAATAATAATAATTATTAATATTAATTAATAATTGAATAATATACTAAATATTAAATATTGTTAAATTATTAACGCTAAATATTTATTATTAATTATTTAAAATTTAAAAAAAAATAAAGAAAGCCAAAGAAGTATAACTTCCTACGCGCGTACATAATAGTACGGGAGGTAGCAACGTTTTCGAGAAAGAATTCCAGGTCAGCTGATTTTGTGATATGTCTTCCTTCTTGCACTTCCGGTTAGAGTCTGGGCAGTCTGGCTGGCGGTAGCGGTTGCGTTCATTAGTGCGCATCCTATCTGTCTAGGTAATAATCCTGGATTTTAAAAGCATTTTAAGAAGCGTAATTTTTGATTTATCCTTTTTAAATACGTCTACCTGATATACTTTTTTTATTGCCAGACATTTTTCACGTTGCTAACTATGTGCCAGACGCGATTTTAAGTTGTATTTTTATAAAAATTTCAAAGCATTTTAGAATGTCTGTAATTTTAATATTATGTTATTTAAATATAAGAAAAACTGAAAATGAATTTGCCAGACATTAATTCGATTGTTAAGTCTTGAATTAAAATGATAAAGTATTGCAGTATGATGAAGCATTGCATTTTAAGAAGCGTAATTTTTGATTTTTCCTTTTTAAATACGTCTACCTGACATACTTTTTTTATTGCCAGACATTTTTCACGTTGCTAACTATGTGCCAGACGCGATTTTAAGTTGTATTTTTATAAAAATTTCAAAGCATTTTAGAATGTCTGTAATTTTAATATTATGTTATTTAAATATAAGAAAAACTGAAAATGAATTTGCCAGACATTAATTCGATTGTTAAGTCTTGAATTAAAATGATAAAGTATTGCAGTATGATGAAGCATTGCATTTTAAGAAGCGTAATTTTTGATTTTTCCTTGTTAAATACGTCTACCTTACATACTTTTTTTATTGCCAGACATTTTTCACGTTGCTAACTATGTGCCAGACGCGAATTTAAGTTTTATTTTTATAAAAATTTCAAAGCATTTTAGAATGTCTGTAATTTTAATATTATGTTATTTAAATATAAGAAAAACTGAAAATGAATTTGCCAGACATTAATTCGATTGTTAAGTCTTGAATTAAAATGATAAAGTATTGCAGTATGATGAAGCATTGCATTTTAAGAAGCGTAATTTTTGATTTTTCCTTGTTAAATACGTCTACCTGACATACTTTTTTTATTGCCAGACATTTTTCACGTTGCTAACTATGTGCCAGACGCGAATTTAAGTTTTATTTTTATAAAAATTTCAAAGCATTTTAGAATGTCTGTAATTTTAATATTATGTTATTTAAATATAAGAAAAACTGAAAATGAATTTGCCAGACATTAATTCGACTGTTAAGTCTTGAATTAAAACTATTGAAGAATCATTATCGTGTGAAGAACACGAAGAAGCTTATTCTAGGATAATTTTTCATATTTGCCAAATCGATTTTGACGCAGAAGTTGTTATACGCTGTTCTGATTCTGATATTTTAATTATACTTCTGGGAAATATGGATCACCTGAAAAAATCTTTGAAAATTTGGATAAATATGGGTGTTGGAAATCATCAGCGTTACATAAACATCAATGAATTGTACTGAATTCTTGGTGACTCTTTATGCTAAGCTTTACCATGCTTCCACGCAATCACCGGATGTGATTACACGCCAGCTTTTTTTAGAAAAGGCAAAGTTAAGCCTTTTAAAATATTAGAAAATTCTGAGGAATACCAGTTAGCTTTTGATAATATAATTTCGGATGATAAAGAAGTACTTGAAACTACGTTTGTAACCCTGGAGAAATTTATTTGTCAAATGTATGGAGTTAAAAATTGTTCGATTGTTAATGATGTTCGATTTAATTTATTTTCAAGTACGTTTAAGTCAAAAAAATCAGATGAGAACTTTGACAAAAAATTTCGAAACTTTGACTCATCCAGTTTGCCACCCTGTAAAGTGGAATTGGAACAGCATTTATTGAGGGTTCGTTACGTGACGAAAATTTGGAGAAATGCTCACTCAAAACATCCAACATCTTTATCTCCAATGGCTTTTGGGTGGACCATTAACGGTGAATTACTATCCTCAGTTGCAGATATTATTGTTCAAAGTAAGTGTTAAATGGAACATTTATCAATAATAACTAAAATGGTTAATAACGAACAAGAAAAATTACACTGTTTATTTTTTTTCTGTTGCAGATGATTTAGAAGATAACGAAAGTTCCCAAGAAGATGATATGAATGACACCGACAAAGACAGCGACGATGATGATGATGATTATGAAGATGCCTCTTTTTTGTGACGTCACTATAGGCTAAAACAACTTGTAAAACTCAATATTAATTATTCATAACTTACATTTAGTAATTAGGACAATTTAAATAAAGTGTTGATTATTAATTTTAATCAAATTTTATATTCCTTTTTTATGCTCGTACTACAAGCATTATACTGCAATACTTTTCATGACTTTTACATTTTAATTCAAGGCTTAACAATCGATTAATGTCTGGCAAATTCATTTTCAGTTTTTCTTATATTTAAATAACATAATATTAAAATTACAGACATTCTAAAATGCTTTAAAACTTTTATAAAAATAAAACTTAAAATCGCGTCTGGTACATAGTTAGCAACGTGAAAAATGTCTGGCAATAAAAAAAGTATGTCAGGTAGACGTATTTAACAAGGAAAAATCAAAAATTACGCTTCTTAAAATGCAATGCTTCATCATACTGCAATACTTTATCATTTTAATTCAAGACTTAACAATCGAATTAATGTCTGGCAAATTCATTTTCAGTTTTTCTTATATTTAAATAACATAATATTAAAATTACAGACATTCTAAAATGCTTTGAAATTTTTATAAAAATAACACTTAAATTCGCGTCTGGCACATAGTTAGCAACGTGAAAAATGTCTGGCAATAAAAAAAGTATGTCAGGTAGACGTATTTAACAAGGAAAAATCAAAAATTACGCTTCTTAAAATGCAATGCTTCATCATACTGCAATACTTTATCATTTTAATTCAAGACTTAACAATCGAATTAATGTCTGGCAAATTCATTTTCAGTTTTTCTTATATTTAAATAACATAATATTAAAATTACAGACATTCTAAAATGCTTTGAAATTTTTATAAAAATAAAACTTAAAATCGCGTCTGGCACATAGTTAGCAACGTGAAAAATGTCTGGCAATAAAAAAAGTATGTCAGGTAGACGTATTTAAAAAGGAAAAATCAAAAATTACGCTTCTTAAAATGCAATGCTTCATCATACTGCAATACTTTATCATTTTAATTCAAGACTTAACAATCGAATTAATGTCTGGCAAATTCATTTTCAGTTTTTCTTATATTTAAATAACATAATATTAAAATTACAGACATTCTAAAATGCTTTGAATTTTTTATAAAAATACAACTTAAAATCGCGTCTGGCACATAGTTAGCAACGTGAAAAATGTCTGGCAATAAAAAAAGTATGTCAGGTAGACGTATTTAAAAAGGAAAAATCAAAAATTACGCTTCTTAAAATGCTTTTAAAATCCAGGATTATTACCTAGACAGATAGGATGCGCACTAATGAACGCAACCGCTACCGCCAGCCAGACTGCCCAGACTCTAACCGGAAGTGCAAGAAGGAAGACATATCACAAAATCAGCTGACCTAAAATTCTTTCTTTTCAAACGTTGCTACCTCCCGTACTATAAGTACACGCACCATTTTTATGTATTGTTTAAATTATTACATATATCAAATAAATACATTAAAGATTACTCTATCTACGATAAAAATCGTTATACAAATTTGTGAGATACATATTATATTTACCATTAGGTGTGTCAACAAAAACATGTTTGTCTCTATCGTCAAATACAATTGTACTGTAGAAAGAAAGAAACAAATATTGAAAACTACCCAACATCTGGATTTCCTTTCTCTATGGATATATATCTTATAAAGCAAAGTGTCAAAGTCATGATGAAGATTGAAATTTTTACAATTTATTTTTATTCGATTTTGCCTATCTCTCATTGCTGATTAAAACATGAAGGTAATTTAATCTCATTTGATATTATGGTATTTCCAAAGTCAACTACATTTACTATTAATAGAAAAAGCTACCTACCAACTTGGCTCATTCCTTATCAAGTTCATTTGTATACAAATCTTCAAATTGAAAAAAAAACCAGGGGAAACAGCATACAATATAACGGTGTGAATCATACCGTGATTAATTAATTGTTTTATCACTGTTATTTATTTGCTATGTGATTCGTTAGTTCTTTATTGATTCATGAGACTGGTCAGATTATCGAAAACCCAGGAAGCTATCAATAAATTGCTAATACAATATAACTATTCAAAATATGTTTAATTGTTGCTAGCATATAAATACTACCGTGTTTATTGTCGGCACTTCGTAAAACCCACTGTTTAAAACAGGCATAGTTATATATTTATTAATTTAATTTTATAACAGCTTTTATAAAAATTATAAAGCCATAATAAATATAGGTGTGTTAGTGCGTACGTATGTGTTTATGTGTGTGCGTATTAGTGACTATTATGATTATTTACTTAATAAATAGTTCTAGACTTGTAGAAGAAATTTAAATAAAAGAACAATAATTCTTCGTCAGAATGTATTATGAAATATATTTAAATATAAAGCGATAATATTCTCGCTTATTAGGGAATTATAACCTGTCAGTTAGAAAATCAGTTTAGTAGCTTTAGTTTACAACAGTAGTAAGAAAACGTCAGCTTTGTTTATTTACACGACACATTATCGACCGATAATGGCTGGTAAATATTCTTCAAGTCTCGTAAGTCAAGTTTATGGTCTGGTAGTACGTAATTCGCAATGGAAATGGAAATTTCATTTGACCAATTGTAAGGGCACGTCACAATCTAGTCTTCAAATATATGAAAATTGTAATAATCCTTTCGTAAAAGAACATACGAATTGTGTTGTGTCTATTAATATATTCAATGATTCAAAATTTCATTCCAAACCAAAATCTGGTTGGCTCAATCCAAATTACCAGTGCAAATTATTTACATACAAATCGGTACAAATTACCTCTGAATAATATATTATTTTGAATTTATACGTCAAATTGTTGCAGAGCTCAAAGGAGAAAGTTCGAAAAGATCGTGTAGAATGGTCTACCAGTGATCCAGAGGTAAAATTGCCCACAAGAAATCTTAAGAAAAAAGTGCCTGTCATCAAAAAATCACCCAAGGACGGTGTTTCGGCTTCAGAAACTAACTTGGTAAATACTAGTCGTCTGTAATCTATGTTCCGGGTATCGAAACAGAAAACGTTATTTAACCATAAATAGTACCATTAAAATACCAGTAGCACGCTGACTCGGAGGTTTGATCAAAAACCTTTGATATTTTTAATGAGTGTAATATACACTGAAATTGTGTTTTTAAATAAAATAGTGTTTCAGTTTAAATTATAATACACTCTATAGACGTAGTAGTGTTCTATTCCATTTAATTTGCAAATTTTCTTCTTCAGTAATATCCTTTGCTTAATTATAACAAACCAAAAGTTAAATTTATAATTGTTCCCTTTTCATTTCACATATAACTTTGATGGTATGGAAGATCTTAGGATTTCATTAAAGGATGTGACAGAATTGGTGTCCTCCAGAGTTAACTTTCAGCAGCAGAGAACACGTCTCCAACTGCACTGGCTAAGGACTTTGAGACATTTAATAGTTGCTCTTTTCTATCTTGAGAATTTTCAGGCTAAAAATAGAAATCCTTCTAGAGTATAGAATGAGCAACAAATATGGTGTCAATGAGATCTAGTATGTGAGTCCTGGCTCAATAGGAAATGTGATCGGTCCACGGACATACACATTAAAAATTACAAACCAATAACGATTCTATTAGGCAATTAAAAATAATGTTTAAGCTAATACGTCGACAGCTTCTTTATGAATAGTGGTGAGTTTGTTGAAACTTGTTAACAAGGGATTGGAAAACTTGGCACTTTGATGAATAAGATATAAAAGTGAAACTTCTCGTTGCGCAAATTCCTTTGTTGTTTGGGACTCTTGGCTTTCACATTAAGATACGGAGATAACAGTACATAACTTTATTCACTATACAAACACAGGCATGAGAGGTGTCGATGTTTTTAAACCACAAAAAAATATTATTACACTGATATTTAATTTCGTTATTTATGTTCGCTATGGTTTCCGGACATGACGTGTTTGTATTGTTTATGGTATTTTTGCGCCGCGCTATTAGAAAATACAAGGATAGCTTATACATTTCACTGACTAGTTCGATGTATTATTGTTCTGGACTATTCGTTTATATGGTTATGACTTCCAGACGAACTGTGGGAGTATATTAGTTCTTCAAGAAAAAGTTGGTCGTGGTGACGATCGGGCTACTGGCAATACTGATAGCAAAAGGACGACCAAGATTGCAAAAATAGCGAGTATGAAGCCGCAAATACAACGCACTAAGAAATCGGGACAAGCATGTTCCGGGAGTGGAATGCCGGTATGTATAATCCAACTTATTCCTTCTTGCTAATAAAAAATAAAATAAATCAGTGGCGCTACAACCTCTTTAGGTCTTGGCCTCAGATTTCTGAATCTGTTTCATGATCATTTGTCAATCTAATAGACAATTAGGTGATCAGCCTTCTGTTCCTGATACATGCCGCCAATTTTTTGGGTCTTAGGCGGTTTCCTCACGATGTTTTCCTTCACCGTTCGAGCAAATGTTAAATGCGCACATAGAAAGAAAGTACATTGGTGCACAGCCGGGGATCGGATCTACGACCTCAGGTATGAGAGTCGCACGCTGAAGCCACTAGGCCAACACTGCTCGCAACACTGCTCAGTAAACGAAAAGAGGTGCTACGAAAATGGTTCAAGTAGGCGCGGTAGTAAAAGGTCCGTCGCTTTCGTCCCGAGTTATTATTAATTCGCTTAAATTTAAATGGTCTAAGTATAAGAGAACGACTTTCGGTCTTTCGGCGATGTTTCTATCACAACAACAATGCAACTATATATTAAAACCTAATTTAATCTTTTTACCATGCGAAAGAAGAAGAAATTTATCATGCATTCTGATCATTTAGAAAAACCAAAAGTTTTATACATGTTTCCTTATTTAAAGTACAACAATATTGTAATTAATTTATGATTTTTTCTTTGCAGAGGTTGCGGTCATGTAAGTATGTTAGTAATCTTAAGTTAAAGTCAAAACTAACGACTTTTCAAAACAATTTATCTTTAATGCATAGACGTATATATGTCGCAGCCAACTAGCTTAATTAGCCGTTCAATTAACAGTCTAGCCGTTTAACTAAACGGCGCCGTTTAACTAGCGGCCTGAAAGGTGTTTGATGATATGATTTTCGTGCCTACCCATTTATGTGTTTCTCACAATAGTGATTGTTATAATTAAAGCCTTTTCATCATCGGATTCCGATGATTCTTTAAGAAGAGAGCTAAGTGCTATTAATGATGACACGCGTCGAAGTGCAAGAGTAATATTCGACTCACGCCAGAAGCTCCTTAACATGGTACAGGTGAGAATTGCATTTTTAAATTATAAAATACGTAAATCCTTCCAAATATAATTAGTAATATAAACTCAAATTAAGCAGGCATTTTATTCTAAGTAGCTTAGTGCTGCAGATGCCATAAAGATATTTAATACGGAAAACGATGTTATAATAATTCGATATATTGTCAGAGATACGCCTATTCGGTATATAGCTAATTGTTTTAATTCATACTGGTCGTAATTGCTAAGAGATGTTTCTATGGACCAATTTTGATCAGCCTTTCGATTCTGTAACTCACTTTTCGAACTCACACAGTGGTTTTCGCATCGGCGGTCGCTCTCAAATCAGTCGTAGAGTCATTTTATGATTTGGCATTCTGATAAGGTGGGAGCTTGTAGTTTATTGTTAGTTACAGAATCGCATGGCTGTTGCTTTTCATCAGACACACTAATGAGTACTTAAAAACTGTTATAAGATTTTGTTAATCGTTTCCGAATCAAATTTATTTTGAAGTTTGTAAAACATGTTCGTGTTTTCATATGTGATGTTTTCATATGAGCCCATAATGAATTTAGAAAAAGGAAGCAGAGCCAGTAGACTTTGAGGAGTTGTGTGAGCGCAAAGACATTCTGCTTCAGGAGTTGGATCACATGGATGCCATAACGAAAAATATGTGGAAACTTTTTCGAAATAGGCTTCCTACGACGACCAAGAAAAATACTAATTCAATTCACGAAACGCCTCTAAGTAGTAAGGGTTTTGCATTTTAATCAATTATATTATTAATACAGAACTAGCGAACTGTGGAATCGACTCCCGGTGGGGGTCTTCCCTCAGAGATATGACCTCCAAATGTTTAAAAAGCGAGTGTACTCCTTCCTCAAAGGCCGGCAACGCACCCGCTAAAAATGGGTGTCTATGGGCTGCGAAGACTGCCCTTTTTGGTCGTCCCGCAAGCTCGTTTGCCCCCCTATTATATAAAAAAAAGTTCTTAAGGCAAACAGAATTTATATTTAAATATATATAAACGTGATTTATTAGTCTCTCGCATTGATTGATCACAAGCACTCGAACTGTCGTTGTGTAGTAAAATAAATTTGGGTTTATACATAAAGATGTTTTAAATAAATGTATGTTCGGCGTAAACCAAAACTTATATTAGTATTAGCTGCCCCCGCGAACTTCGTTTCTCCTTAATGTGATTTTACTTAGCCTATTTTTTTAATACATACCAACATAGAACATTTTGGTATGCTACCCAAGATAATTTTTTTAGGTTTTTCAGTGAATTTTTCTCTATATAAACCTCAGAGTTCGAGTCATAAGATTTTAATTAACAAATAAAAAATGGGAGTTGATCGTAGAGGGGTAAAAATTAAGGGTTGTAGGTATGTATTTTTGTATGCTGTATCATAAAAATAAAATAAAAATTATCTAAAAATAAAAACTTAGGGACCCTTAACATTTAGGGGGATGAAAAATAGATGTTGTCCGATCAGACTTACTGAATATGCATAAAAAATTTCATAAGAATCGTTCGAGCCGTTTTGGAGGAGTATGGCAACGAAAACTGTGACACGAGAATTTTATATATTAGATAAGATATATATTTCAAATTATTCACATTATACAATAATCATTTTACCACCACTTGAATGGCAAGTAGAGTTAGAAAATCTATACAGGAAACTATATTGTACATGTAATATTATTAGCAGATAATACCTATTGTATGTTTAAAATGCGCCTAAAAATTGCATACATTTATATTAACTGAAGCGGCAATTCATTTTCAGCCGGCTACATTTTTAATCTTGCCACCGCTGCCCTCTGTTCGTATGTCAAAATAAAATCCAATATTTTTGTAAGCGAAGCTTAACTGGCCGTTTGTACGGACTCGATAATACTGCACTCGGCAATTCTGGCTGCTTTGTGCATTGTGTTGGAGTTAAAAGATCACTTGGCATTTTAACATTACAGCCAGTACAGCAAATTAAATTGCACAAAAGTGTTAGGGAACTTATACATATTTTTAGTTAAAATTTTCTTGAAAATAATAATTTCTTATATATATATTCAAATAACTTTACCGTAGATTTGGTGATGCACTGCATTTAGTTTTATTTAACACAAAGATTTGGAGTACACCAAATATATAACAGTCAAACAAACATTACTCTGAATTCAGTACCAGCATTTAGTTTATCGAAAATTTAATTTTATAGGACCACCTATCAGCCACCAGAAGAAAATTAATCAGCCTATACATTCAGGCACCGAAATCCCGTCAGCACACGAGCCACCTACTAGAAGTAAATCTGTATGTCGATCATTTTGTATGAATAAATAAAATATAATACGTCTTTCTTATTGTGTCATCTTTTAATATAAGAATGTTGAATTTAGGACATCGGTACACCAAGTTCGGATCCGCGATATTTATGTTTAATAAATAAAAGGAAGCATAATAAACACAATAAGTGTTTAACTAGAAATTCGATTCAAGCGTCTCGTCTTTGAGCTCTGTCGCTACATGAGCCTCTTAAAGACTTATCAGTTCTGATATTGAAACTGAGGAACTATATAAATAACAGTGGGCCTATAGTATGACCTCGTAGGCGTGTCTAGCCATTTGCTGTTGTTTTATTTTTTAGTTGTTACAAACATTATAAATAGATTAAAAGATAAAAATATTTATTTTTGTTTCTTTTTTTAACTAAAGAATGTTTTAATAAAGATAACACGAACTTTGGATTATTTATTCTTTACGGTGTGTGCCTAATATATAAAAGGTGAAACGATCGAAGTGCTTTGAATAAATGTATATATAAAAGATATTTTGTTTTGTTTTTGTAGGAAATTGATCTCGGTCGAAAATTATATGAAAGTTACGACATGCAAGAGAAACTCGTAGCGGACAATGCCAACCTCGAAGTCAAGAGGTTATTTTTTATATATTATTCCGTAGTTTATTATATTTGTTGTTTGAAATCCTCTACATCCCAATTCACGCGTGTGGCTCACATATTTTTATTTATATTGGTCACGCTTTTTAGAGAAGTGCCTTCGGCCAACGCCGAGTAGTTTTCAACGCCTTTTGCTCTTGGCATTTTTTATAATCTATTATCGTAGTAGAATTACGTTGCATTGTTCAATGAAAAATATATATATAAAGCTTTTGCCTGTTAAAAACTGTTTCGTGAAAAAGAAAACTATTTGAAAAATGGAACGTTCCATTGACTGAGATGTCACCTATGACGCACACTTCACAGCCAATTTAAAAGTTGAAAAATGTGTTTTTATTTGTAAATATTTATGAAAAGCAATGAAAATGGATAAAATTCGGTAAGTTTTTTCTTTAGGCACATTTTGTACAAGGAACTTATGACGAAGGACCAAAATTTGGAAATTTGTCGCGGTCAAATAAAAAGGCTACAGGGGGAGTTAAAATTATTACATAAAGAAAATACGACGCTGCACGAAAAGCTTAGTAAAAATAACCCTCAGGTATCTGTAGTTATGTTTTTAATGTATTTTGTACATTCATTACAAATCTAGTAAGCTGCGAGTGGAATATTAGATGGTTGGTAGAATCTGAAATAAAATATCGAAAAAAATGTTGCTAGAAACATCTTTAAGAACTAATCATGCTCTATTTCACCAAATTTTATTATAATTCAGAAATACTTGGGACACTTTATAGAATTGAATCTGTGAAGTATTATCAGGCCGCATATAGCACGGTGGTTGCATTATACTTCCATACGTGTATTAGTAATCGTAGAGGAGTTGGTGAAAATGATTTTCCGGTACTTAGTATTAACGCCACAGCGACAAAAATAAGGTTTGGTTAGGTTAGTATATTAATATTTTGTTTAAATAACTGTTTTTTTATGATATAGGAGGCAAACGGGCAGGAGGCTCACCTGATGTTAAGTGATACCGCCGCCCATGGACACTCACACTGCCAGAAGGCTCGCAAGTGCGTAGCCGGTCATTCAAGAATTGGTACGCTCTTTTCTTGAAGGACCCTAAGTCGAATTCGGAAATACTTCAGTGGGCAGCTAGTTCCTAGTGGTGGTGCGCGGCAAAAACTGCCTTAGAATAATAACCCCTAACCACTTTCACGCACCGGAAACAGTTATTTAAATAAAATATTGATATACTAACCTAACCTAACCAGAATTTTTGCCGCGGTGGCGTTAATGCGTAAGTACCATCCCACTATGGAACACTAAGATCGCGTTAATCATTCTCATGTTAAACCTTTTTATAGGGCGATGCGACTCCAAACAATCAAGACAACACTTTTCAACAGGATATAGATAATTGCTCACTGGTAAGGTTGTAATGTAGAAAATTTACATTCCCGTTATGGTTACAACTCAGTTGCCCCTAGAAGTATTTTAGATCTTATTTTTCTGAGGATCCTTCATGAAAAGGGTGTGCCAATTCTTTAAAGACCGGCAACGCACTCGGAACGGAACCTTTATGCATTGTGGCACTGTGAGTGTCCATAGGCTTAACATTTGGAGCCTATTGACAATCTACATCACTTCATACTATGACATCGAATAAACCAGCCAGTTGAGTTTTCCCACTTGATCTCAGCGGTAAACAGATTTCGTTCATTCAATTTGTATGAAGTTTCGTACCATGACCTCGTGATAGACTTTAAGTTGAATCGATTAGCCGTAAAACTATGATAAAATAGGTGATACTGAACTTTTTTGTATCGAAAGTGTCCAAATATTAGTCTAAAACATTGAAAACTCAATATTTTAATTGCAACGGTATAATTTTTATATATTATTTAATTAATGTCTTTTCCGTAATTTTTAGATGTAATAGAAAATTTCTTAATATATCTTAACATATTTTATATTAAAATAGCGGCGCGGGAGGGCGTAATCGCAGTGATTTCGTGTATTTTACCAAAATCTAATGCGACCTGTTCAACGATAATTCCGTGTATGTAGCATTGCCTGTAGACATCTTCAGCTATACATATTAGATAAAGATCAGGCAATGCTCAGTTGGGCATAAACAAATATTCATATTATTCAATTCGCAAACTATGTAGCGAGTTTTTGTTGTGTTATATTAATTAGTTATTGTATAAAATAAATTTAAACAATTAAAATAATTTAGTTACTTCTATTTACTTACGTCTTAAAGTTGTTTTGCAAAGGTTTTTACATCATGAATTCATTTCTATTTAAAAAAAAATAAAAAAGGTGTGAACAGTACTTTCCCATCATAATTAAGTTAAATGATGATTGTTAAACTAAAATAAAAAAAAAGCACCAAGATAGCTATGTTATCTTTTGCTACATCAAAAAACTTACAGAGTTTTAAAAACGTCATATACTAACATAGTACCAAAAAAGTTTACGTTTAGTATGATTATGATTATTAAAAACACAATCATGAATTGTAAATGATAAATTATTTAAAATAATAATAATTTAATTTATTATCATAGAATTTTCTGTCAAACCGAGTTTGACAGTGAACTCCAACAGGAACCACAATTAAAATTATCGTTATTTCGTTAAGTCTTGCAATTTCAACGTGTTTCAGTTAGGAGGTCATGATACGAAAAATTGCGTATTTAATTTAGGAGCCAAAAATAAGTATCTCAACTGGATCAAGGGGAAAATTCTCGCATGTGATTAATAGTGAAAAACCTAAAAAATTGCTGCAGCAAATTTTTTGCTTCTCAGAACTGTGGCAAGACCCGAGTATGATTTGTTTATTTTACAGAACAAAGAAACCGTATGTGTGAAAAATCCAGTCCCAGATAACCAACAAGAACTTGAAGAAATTGTAAGTATTTTTTTAATATGATGTAACTATTCTTGTCTTTCTTGTTTACACGAACGGTAAAATACGTTTTTAAGTCGAGTTGAGTTTGGTATCATCTCACATGTTAATTTTTTATACTTTTTACGTCTATGTAGACGTGAAATTTATTTCTATGTAATGGGACAAATTTTATAATTTTATTTAATTTGCTTTTTTCTAATTGCATATTTAACGTAAATGCCTTACATTGCAATTTGTTCAAGTAGGAAAATATGTACGCTAATTAAATGTTACCGTTTTGTGATATCTGATAACATTTCTCGTTCTGTTTGAATAACACATTTCATATCTACTGCGTTTATTTATCCACGGTAATAAGACTAATTGGTTATTGTAATTTTCCAAGCATAACGGAGAGGTTTTATCCTACCACACGGTTTCCATTTTAAATACCAGTCGTTACGAAAACGAGTCGCATTATTCTATACAGAGATTTTTTTTGTTTAGAAAAATACGTAATTAATCCCCACCGGGTTAATACGTAATTAACCCCCACCGGGCCCCCACTGGGGCTTCTAAAACGACTGTTCACTTGCAACTGAGAAATCTTTTTTACTAAAATATTTTTTGATTTCTATTATTTATGAACAAAGGTAACTTTCTTCTCATGTTTTACTGAACATTTGAACATTGATGGACAAGAACAAGAACAATTTGTTTGGTAAAACGCTGCCTCATGACCGATAATCAAGTGACACGACAATATTATAGTAATAAAAATCAAATAGAAGTGTAATACGTTAATTTAAACAGTAAAACTACAAATAGGCGTTAATACAATATGTATTAGTGTAACTTCAAGTGCTAACAAGGGAAAAGCTCAGTACGAAATCAATCAAGTGTTTCGATTAATTACGTACCTTTGAAACGGATAGTGATATCTGATTTAGGAGGATATTACCTGAGTGCCTAAGAGCTCTTCATCGTGAAAGGGGTTATTCTCGGAATAGACTAGGGATTGACAAATTTGTGTCTATGGAAGCCGAACATATTTGCAATTACTTCTTGTTAGGTACTGTATGTCAGATTGCACAGTGCTCCTGCATCGTTGTCAACTCTACAAAATACATCCTTTAACGACTGCTACATGTTGATAAATAACATGTACTTTGCCATTTTAACACCATCTACGGCAGCGCAGTTGGTATTGGCAAAATTTCCCTGGATTTTATGTATACATCATGTCTTCTCTGGTGATTTTCATTTATTTATAACAGACACTGCTAATCTGTAACTCTAAATAGAAGTGAAAGATTTATTTAAAAAAATAGGGTGCGTGTACTTCTGTACGCGCGTAGAAGTTATATACTTCTTCGGCATTATTAAAAATAGTTTTTGATTGCAAGCATAATTAATTACAATTAAATAATCAAAGACTGGAATAGGAGCCATTATAGTCAATAAAGTTTAGTTTACATTTGAAAAATTAAATAAATAAATATTTATTATTATTCTCTTACATTAAGTGTAACATAAACTCTATTATTATTCGAATGTTGTTTTTAAATTATGTCCAATGCCTTAGCATCTTACGTGGGCAACTTCATTCTGTTAATTTTGTGTAACGGTGCGCGCGCATCGTAAAATTTCACTCTCATCAATTTTTCATAACGCGCCTAAAGAAGTATAACTTCAACAAGTTTCTTTGTGTTTAAACAATTGTATTACTATTTCATTAAAATATAAATTTTAAATTTATTTCGTTTCCGGGTTTTTTCCAAAACCATGTTTTTCTAACAATTTGCTTTAACACGTTCACTGCGGCAAGTAAAATCATAATTCTTCATCAGGTGCGGCGGCGGGCCAAAATGCGCCCCCAATGATATTTCCGCCAGTGCGTGGCAGGTCTTTCTAGACCCAACAGCACTAGGATAGATTAACTCTCAGTGGATGCACAGCAGCGTCAGTGCGTGGTAGGTCGATAAAAGCCTGCCGTTATGTTTTGATGGGGAACACCTACAATTTTGACCGCAAGATGAAATATATATTTTTGTCCCTGTCGAATTTTTACAAACACCTGAGATAATCGTTACGCACCAGCGAGAGGGACATAGATTTCTTCGTCCGCACCAGCTGAAATACCGCGGCAGGCCGATATCGGCCTGTTACGCAGTGAACGTGTTAATAAGTGATTCTGTTGGTTGAATGTTTTTTTTAGAATTTATACAGTTTTGGTTTTTATGTTTGTTTAAAAACCAGTACTTAAACCTAAACCTAAAGGTACTTCGACATAGTACGTCTAGGTTTCAGATTAGATTTAAATTCGAATACTTATTTATAAAGGGCGTGGGCAGGATAACAACCAATTATTTTATTTCAGGAAAAAGAAATTGTACAATTGAAGAACGATCTAGATTGTTTTCGGTTCGACATGGATAGTGCTAAGGCAGGTAGCGCTTGTAAAGGCGGAGGCGGCCTTAATACGTGCTTTCAACAACCTGTGAGTTAATTATATATATTCCTATACAGTTATTTATTATTACAGCATATACCTAAAAAGATTACAATTTCACTCAAGTACAGTTTTCTACTTAAACTAGTAACAACTGCTTATGTTCTTCCACTAGCATTAAGCCTGTCACACATGTTACATACTGGTGCAAAGTTAGGAGAAGCGTTTTGCAGCAAGATTCACTCTAGCGTGAGGCATATGGCAGACAGATTTCTGCGATATGTTTCTGGATTCGGGATTTAATGTGAACTATAAATAAAATTTTACCCAGTGAGTCTATTGTTTACAAGCATATTGCATTGATCAAATTTTTAATAGGTCATAGCCGTCTGTGCCTGAAACACGTCGTTTCAACATGAATATCAAAAAAAATTCATTAATTTCTCCAATAATAAAAACACGTGGCATTTTAATTTATAATTCGTCTTTTGAGATTTCAATAAAATATAAAATACAAATTTTTCATAAATTCTCTGTGCGAAATTTTAATTTTAAAAATATAATTTCTATAAGGTAATTCGCCCTTCTCACTCTCTCTCAATCGGTCTCAATCGCTCTCTCCGTTTTCTTCGATAAAAACGCCGCACATCTTCGTGATGTTTCATCCGTAAAAAAAATTACTCTCATGCGCCTAACACAGCTGCAAACATAACATTTAGCTGGTAATGTATTCGACAGAGTAAAATGTTTAAGATCTTTCTTAATATGTTTCGTCATGAATTAAATGTTATTTAAAACAATCTTATGACTATTAATCACAAGCTTAAAATGCATAAGTCTCAAAGGGTTATTGGTTATTCGATATACCTTACTTTAGTTGTCATATCTATATATATATAAAAGAAAAATGGTCTTCGTTTGAGGCTTTTAGGAGGCCATTTATTTATTAAATTCCAACGTTCCTTCATTTTTTTATTGCTGTTTTATTTTTATGAAAATTTATCCATACGGACTTCACCGCGGAAACATTCGGGGAGGCTTCCTAGAACCTCTAAACGTCAACATCTGTTAAAAACTCGATTTTCGAAATATTTTAATTTTCTTAGCGAAAAGTTAAAAAGAAGAATAATAAAAATATGAAAAAAAAATAAAATAATGAAACATAAAATTTATTTTAATTCGTCCAGCAAAGCGGGCGCGAAACGGCTAGTAATAATATAAAGCTATTGAAATAACAGGGTAATGTGATATTTTAATACCCTGTTACATGGAGCTGACGTGAGAGGTTTGCTATAGCAAATTTGACGCCATACAAATTTTTTGTTTGCGCACAAAAAAAGTGACAGTTGACTACTACTAATGAGAGTGCCACTCAAGATAATCTATCTTATAGAATTGGAATAAGAGCAAATTTTTATGACATATTAATGGAAACCATTATCAACGGCCCTAGGGTATCATATTGTCAATAGGGTTTATCCGTGGTCGATCAGCTGGTGATCTTCTTGTGCACTTTACACATAGACAATTGAGTCCAAGGGGGAGGCGCTAGCGGTTCCTTTGGATATAGCGAAAGCGCTTCTCTCGAAGTTTCCAGCCTATGGGCTCTCCGAAAAATTATGCAACTGGATCTCCCGTTTTACGGCCGATCAGAGCATCAAAGTCGTCATTGACGGAGCATATTTCGACTTCAAATTCGTGAACCCCGTGAATACCTCGAACCTGTTTCTTCTGCATATCAATGACACATTGCAACTAAGCAACATTGGTCGCTATGCAGGCCCTGCACAAGTTTGCACGTTTTCAAAAACATCCTTTAGCGCTACTCCTCTCTTCGAAGACACTCCCCTTACAGCCACAGCCAGCATGGGAGTGCAGGGCATTGACATATCGAACGACGTTCAGTTTCGCGGTCAATTGGAAGGAAAGGCTAAATAAGCCTCCAAGTAGCTTTGTGTGCCCAGCAATTCGAGACTGTTCTTCACTCCGGGCCATCGCTTGCAACTGTAAAGGTTCGACCCTACGTGGCCCCACTGTGCTCATCTCTGGGCGGAAGCTCCCTAGTACCGGCTCCTTCCACATGACCGTATTCAATATAACAAAGACATTCCTTCCGTTGACGACCGGTCAATTTCCGAGCGGCTTTGTCCCTTGGCGTTGCGTAGGGATGGGGGGTCTCTATGTATCTCTATGTAGTTGTTCGGATGAATATATTTAGCTGAGTTTCATCATCGGATGTAGAGGCAAAATACGAAATTTCACTTTGAAGTTTTTTGAGATTTGTATCGTATTTTTAAATATAAACCTCAAATAAACGTTTAATAAATCGATTAGCGGAATATTCGTAGCAATAGTTTGATTGTGTTGTAAAAACGTTTGGAGCATGGCACGGTTGATTTTTGTGATTTTAACTTACAACATTAACTCCTTATTCATTAACATAGATGATAGAACGAACGTTACTATACTACAATATCAGTTGAATGTACACGTATGAAAATCATTATTTTACTTATTAAGTTAAAGTTTTAGGTTTAAGAATAACTTTATTTCTCATAAGAATTGCATACATAATTCACTTACTGAGAAACAATATTTAAAACTAAGATTAGAAATTAGAGCGCACAGATGTAGGTACATATATAAAATAATAAAACAAAACAAAACATTGATGGCATAGTCTGATATAGCAAGTTTATATTGATTATTTTATTATTTTTCATAACACCATTTTATTTTTAGTTTATTGTTTTTGTCAATATATATATACATATTATATTTTTATTACTTATTTGTATGTATTAATTGTGTGAGTTTTTAGAAGCTTTTCAAACCGGGCATAAAGTTTGTGTATTAACTACTATACTAAAATATAATAGGCGCATGGTGTTATAAAAAGCAAAGCAGTAGATAACTAAATAATTATATAGATACATGGTGCTCACATATTCACAAATATTGCAACTGAGCTATCACAAATGAGGTTCAGTTAACCGACTTCAAAATAACCGAAGGCTATAAATTCGACATATAATTTCTTGTGTATGTTCAAGCCTAAGCTGTAGACCGATCTGGATAGGTTCCAATTATAGGTATTATGTTACATACTCATTTTTTGGCACCAATCATGATCTTCATACCCTGTATAATTTTCGTGTAATCCAACAAATTCAAACAAATAAGAAATATTTAAAGGAAACAATTTTTTTTACCGGATTGAAGTTATGTATTATTATAAATTTACAATTATTTTACATAATTTTAAATTTAACCGACGTTTCGCGTGCTTTACAGCGTGCGTGGTCACGGTGACTGAAGACAAAAGGTGTTGAATGTCAAAAAGTATCACAGCTGTAGAAAAAGTTGTATTATCTGTATTTATTTTCCCCGGAGTTGGTATCGACTAAAAGATGGAGGGTTTTTGGCAGAAATGGCTCACGGTGTCCTCTATTATCTAATATAAAAAATTGTTTCCTTAAAATGTGTAAAAGTTATGTCAATAAAATACTAATAAGAAATATTGTTATTAAACATTTTGAAGATGGTGCTTTTTTTTACAATAGAATTTGTTTCAAGGCGTGTCGTGAAATAGTTCATTTTATTATTATTTCTTTAACCTTCAAATCACAATAAAAGTTTTCGTTTAATTGAATAATATACTTTCAATATTATTACAGGCAGGTGGTCCTCCGGTGCCTCCTATGACAAAAGCTGTGAGTATTAAATAATGTATCTTGAATCTATAGGAAAATCAGTCAAGAAAAAGTGGCACTCGTGTGCGTTTGACGCATGATATACAATAATATACAGGATGGCCCAAAAGTCGTGGATAAAACTAGGGGATAGATTAGGGGCACTTTTGGGATACAATTTTTTTTTACAGTGGGGTCCGTAAACAAAAAGTTATGATTTGAAAAAAATTTACTTCGTATAACTTAATATTATCTTCAATACACTCCATAAAGCATGTCTAACGCAAGGACTCTTAGTACTAATCTAGTTGATATTATGAAAAAGATACAGGATGTAGATTTTTTCTTTAATTTGAATAAGAGTTAGTTAAAAAAGTGAATTTTCTTATAAAAACGCAAAATAAATTATAACTCTGCAGGAGTTGAGGTTAGGGACCTGCCATTGAACAATTGTTTACAGCTGATGACCTCATCTATCCCCTAGTTGCGTTTGATTCACGACTTTTCGGCTGCATATAGGAAATGGATTGTTATTAACAAGTCAATATTTTGTTTTATACAAATAGATTACTTAATACACATATTTGACTAAATTATTGAGGAAGTTACGCTAATAGGTAGACGCTAGTAGGTTTAGAAATACACGGTAAATTCTTCTCTTATTCTGATATAATAACTTGGACAATACATAACGCTGGTTCGTACGTAATTTAAATACGCAATTTATATCAACGTTAACCTTTTGTGAGGAAAATTCCTACCGATGGAAGTGAAGTCTAATTTTCATTTGAAGATTTGATGGAACAAAGAGACAAAGATGTCAGTCACATGCTTGTCAGTGAATGTGGGCAATCGTTTATGCCTCGTGAATGTTATAAATAGTTATTATATAAACCTTAAACAATGAGATGATGCCCATAACTTCAATAACAATTGCGATTGCGATTTGCGCTACGTTATTAGTAACATCAACTGATATTAGAACAGCTATGGTGAAAGTTCATAATTACTGGAATCGACAATTTTAGAGTGTCAATGGGTATCAGTTTTGCATGGAACGCTGTGGTTTCATGCAGTTAACTTTAGAGTATAGAATTGTACTATGATCAATACGCCTGGATAAATTTAATTAAATTCCTTGTCAATGTTATCAGTATTCCATTTAAATCTAATTTGGAGGTAGGACTTGTACATGGTATCTACATTTTGTATGTGGAGTTTTTAACATTGATGAAATTTTCTTCATGCCGCACTTTTAGTTTGTACGATGTAGGAATTTAAAGTAAGTTTTTATCAGTCTTCCTCTGGGACAGCCTTGCAATTCATCCACGGAACTTGGAGCTTCCATACATGCAATGCATTTAGTTTTATTAGTAGGTCAAATCCCAGAGAAACTGACTCAATTTTTGTACGCCGTGTAAATATACACTAAATATAAGATTATTGTTCTGAATTTGTTATAACTTATAAAAGCTAACAAGTATTATATCTGTAGTTTATGTCTTCGATACTATATCCGAGTGTTAGCATGATTGTACGTTTTTGTAATGGAAATGCAACTTTAGCACAAATAAAAAAATAAAAAAATTAAATAGTTTTGCTAGTAGTTGTTTTAATATTATTTTATATTTTTAGTGTGGTGTGTGTCCTCCTTGTCCAGCGCCATGCAATCCCAATGCTCCTCCGGTAAGCAATGTTAAAACAATTATTAATTGATTATTATTTTTTAAATAGAACTTCGACGTGGATGAGCAGTTATCACTGCAAAGCTCACACTTTCAACCCTAAGATTGTGCTCGAATCACGATTTTGTAGTGGGGAAACCGTCATGTCTGAGATCCATAAAAACACGTAATATCGTCCATATTACGTGTCAGACACTGAGAGCTAATCACTTAGTTGATTTTTTTAAATGACCAAAGAAACAAAAATCCGAGGCAACCATACCCTTTATGGAATGTATCGCCGCTGAATTATTATTTTATCAGCGTGGATATGTAACAATATGATAAAGCGTTTATTGGCTAGAATTGGTAGCATTTATTTTAGTTGCACTGCAGAAGCAAGATTTTACGTCAAAATCGAGAGTTATTGCTGAGAATGATTCCCATATATCAAAACGTATTGGCAGACAGTTCGTGCTAAAAAATCTTCCTAGTCCCGACGATACTAAAATTCTGCGCATCTTTTTCACTGACCAACTTGTTTTACATTTGACTAAGTAAATTAATAATTTATGTTATTGGGTGTTCGCAGACACCCGCCGAAAAAGAAGTTCAGAAACTGACGATTCAACTCCGGCAAACCGAGGAAAACTTTAAGACTAAAGTGACAGAGGTGAGTATGTTAATTTATCAAAGGGATTACAACTTTTCACTTTTAACCATGTTTGGGTGTATGAATAAATAACTTTGTGTTAGGTTTTTAAACTTTGGTTGTTAAAATGTTTAGCCATTTTTAATTATTCTAGTTCTATGGTACATTCGCCCTTAGGGTTCTACTTTTCTAGATAAAGCAACGACATTTGTTATTTTTAAAAACTAAATTTAATGTTAACAAATTACTTTTAACTCGAATTGACTAACTACATTAATAATTTAATTTAAAACCATTAAATAGGATTTGTTGTAATTGACGTGTATCACCAGACCTTACAAATAACCAATATAAAATCAAAAGCAAATTAGGGAATGATTATAACTTTAATGAAAGAATTAAATTGAGGGAAATGACAATACCACCTCATGTTCTAAATACAATGTTTTATTATGCAATTCTCTAGTGCGCTATGCTTCGTGCTGAGGTTCTAAGGAAAAAGGAAGAACTAGAAAAGGAAAGATGTCAGCACCGTGAAGTTCAGAACAAATTGCGTGAGCTCGAAATGAAGTTTGAAGGTTTGGCGATGACAACCAATATGAACCTGGGCAGTAAGGAGCAGGCATTTGAGCAGGAAGTAAATGTGCGAGGTTTGAAGTTGTGCTACAGAGAGGCGCGAGAGGAAATTGATGAACTGAGGATGCTTATGAAGGAGCAGAATGATCAGCTACAGGATTATAGAGTGAAGGTATTAATATACACTGTATAGATATGGAAAGTCAAAAGTAAAGTAAATCATTTATTCATGCAATACAATGTACACTTATGAACGTCAAAAAAAGAAATATACATTAAATACTTTGATTTTTACATTTACTGCCAGTTCTAAACCAAGGGCGTAGAACGGAGGAGAAGAACTGGCAATAAACTCTCCGCCACTATTTTTAATCGCCAAGTTTTTTGTTTTACACATCGTTTGTAAGGTGCTGCAACTATTACACCGTGTTCCTCATGACATCCTAAGTAATAAATAATAATAAAATAAACACAATGATTGCTCCTCTATCAGCAGAAGGCATGGTGAAATAGGAGCACGCATTTACATTGCCGTGGGAACAATACGCAAATACATAGTCGAAATAACTAACATCACTGCATACACGAATTCAAGTACGACCTGTCACCACAAGTAGCACCCGTTCACGACTATAACGCATGGCCCCCATCGACACCCTCGGAAAGAATAGGAATAGATATTCAGTATTAAACAGTCTACTAAAGGGAAATGATTCGTTAATTTCTTTTGTAGAATTCTAGTATATTTTTGATCAAATAGTAAACAAGATAATGCTATCATATTAGGTACTGATCAAAATGTCAAAATCTGACTCAATAAAATTTCCTTTAGTACCTTCAAACGCAACAACTCGTGGAGGAGCAGCGTCGTCAAATGGACATGATGGACATGGATAACACGAGAATCAGTGAACAGATTAATCTAGAAATTCAGAAAGTGAAGGTACTTAATAATCTAATATATAAAATTCTCGTGTCACAATGTTCGTTCCCATACTCCTCCGAAACGGCTCGACCGATTCTTATGAAATTTTTTATGCATATTCAGTAAGCCCTAAATTTTTAATTTACCCCTCTACGACCAACCCCTATTTTTTATTATAGTAGATAGTTTTTTAATTGACCTAAAAAAATGATTCCTAGAAATAATATACATGGCAATTCGACGTTTGCCGGGTCAGCTAGTATAAATATATTATGATATTGATAATATATATTATTCATAATATGTTACTCTGTGTCACTTACTGAATTTTTTTTATGTATGTCTAAACTAAATCGGGTTCGAAATTAAAAATATGGTGTGCCTAAAGTCTAAGCTAAATTCTTGGGTTCGATTCCTAAAGCGATTGTTTTGGTCTTGGTAGGTTTTTTAAATATAGACATGTGCCACACGAGTCAAGATAATCTTAACAAAACAATTAACTAATGATGACCAGGAAGCCGATTCTTTTTACCTTAAATAAGTCAATATTGTGTATTAATGAGCCCGTATCTCCTATAGATAAAATTCCAAGAGAAGCTGCAGGAGTTAGCCCCGATTCCAGATCTGCTAAAAGCAGCTCAGCTTAAACTAAAAGATGCACAGCAGTCACAGGCGATTGCCGAACACAACGCTGAACAGTTGGCAAGGGAACTCAATTCGGCTAGGGAAAAGGCAAGATTTTCAAGTTTTAGCTTATATTTTGTCGTATAAATAAGAATTTTGAAATTATATTTTGTAACACGAGCTTGTGTAGGGAATAGTGTTCACAACCTTAATCGAGACAGCTATCGTATCAGGGCCGTGGAATCTTATATATAAAATTCTCGGTGTCTGTAGTTAGACTCCTCCGAAATGGCATTTATGTGTTATCGGTTAGGTCTGCGAATCGGACAACATCTATTTTTAATCCCCCTTAATGTTAAGGGTCCACCGCTAAATTATTTTTTTATTTTTTAGACAATTTTTTTTTATTTTTTTATGATGCAGTATACAAAAATACATACAATTCTTAATTTTCACCCCTCTACGATCAACCTCTATTTTTTATTATAGTAGTTAGTTATTTTTATTGAACTAAAGAAATGTTTCCTTAAAATAATATACATAGCAAAACAACGTTTTCCGGGGCAGCTAGTTATCGTATAGTTATAATGGATAAAAATATCGAATCCAACAGAATAATAATCAGTTTTATATACCTATACATAGTTTACAATTGTACGTCATTATGCAACTATTGCAAGTCTAGATAATTATTGTACGGTTGAGACCAGTCAGTCAAGACAATTAATTCATAATAATTCCAAAAGTTTTCAAATTTTGATGTAAGGTCGGGAGTGGTATTAAAACAAACTATAAAATTTTGCAATCTGCTCTGCGGTCCGGAACATTGTTAAAAATAAGTTTTGGTCGTGAAAAAATTCCAAAAGTTCTGCAAACTTGGGGAAGTTTTCGATATAATATTTCATATCACGTATAAAATTTGCAACCAACCTAAGTGTACGGAACATTTTTTGTTATTTATTTATTTTATTTCGGAATTAAATATTCAACTTAATACTTCATATGTAACATATATAACACTGGATATACAACGACCTTCACCGAGATGCTTATTTAATGAAACGTATTTTATATTTAATTTAATATGTCAATAAATATTATCCATATGGGTTGCCTAGCAAATTTCAGTCCAGAGTATGTTTAATTAATATTTAAAAAAAAAATATTTTTTATAATTTGCATGTAGTAAATATTTTTAATTTTTTTTCAATAAATATTTTTAATCAGGGTAGTATTATATATGTATCACTATAACTTTCTTTTTTTACTAAAGATGTATATATACTTTAGTGTCACATAAAAAAATATACACATAAATAATTAATTGATTAAAAACAACCTAACGTTTGCATATTCTATGGGCTTCGTACTTTCGATTGGTATAGAATTTATCTAATAATCATACCGGTGAAATGTTCAAAAAAAATTTTTTTTTAATATTAATTAAAATACTCTGGACTGAAATTTGCTAGGCAACCCATATGTATTATATTTATTGACATATTAAATTAAATATAAAATACGTTTCATTAAATAAGCATCTCGGTGAAGGTCGTTGTATATCGGGATCTTAGACCATTAATCAGACGTTTCAACGCTTTGTTCGCATGGCACTAAAACATTAAGGACATCAAGCTTTCGTCACAGGAAAGTTCTTTGGACGAAGTCGTTTAAAATATTTATCGTTTGACGAACTTTAGTTTCTCAACTAGGAATTCCTTCGTGGGACTTATACGGGCTCTAATAGTCTGAATAAGTTTTGTAATTCTTGCCCTTAATATTTAATATGTAGATGCGGTTAATTATTGTTAATCACGATTCCATAGAAATTAACTAATCTCCTTATGTATTTTGATATTTTTCTGAGTGGATTTTTTTTTATAAGGCTAGCAGAAGCACAATTGTGCTTTCCACCTTCAAAATCTAGCCTAGACTATGGAATCAAAATTTAAACATAATATATGTGTTCCAGCCTTGCGATTCTGTAACTCACTTTTCGAACTCACACAGCGGTTTTCAAAGAGGCGGTCGCGCTCAAATCAGTCGTAAAGCAGTCATTTTACGATTTGGCATTCTGATAAACAATAAACTACAAGTTCCCTCCTTATCAAGTTACAGAATCGCAAGGCTGAATAACGAAGCGAACTCATAACTTAATATAATTATAATTGTATATTAATTAAAAATATTTGTTCAAAAGGTCCATATGCTCCTGCATAGCAGCCTTAAGCCACCAGAAAAAGCCACAGAACGGGGTGGTGATGAGAAACAAATAGCCCTTCTTCAACAAAGAGTTACGCAATTGACAGAATCTAACATGACGTTGAAGAGTGAGATTGAAAGACTCAAGTGAGTGACTTTTTTATTCATTAGCTCGTTCTTGCATACTTTAATAAAGCACTCAGCTTGTAATTTAAATATTGATTTTATTTTGTAAAACGATGGAAGTTAAACAAAATAATCCAACTGCAACACAATAATAGGCTTTAGAACAAATTTGCACAATATTTTTAATTAAATGTTTTCATATCATATCTAAAATGGTTGACTTTTAAGGTATTAAAACAGTGCTGAGTTAATTGTTTTTAATACTTGCAAATATATTTAATTTTGAACATTTCCAGGGCGAATATAATTCGTATGGAGGAGTCTGTCCTTGCAAATGAAAAGCGTTTGCAAGAGAAGATGCACGAATGCGCTCAATTGGGCGGAGAACTTGATAGGGCCAGGGACGAGGCGGCTAGAGCCTTGCAGAGAGCCAACGAACGCACTGACACTATTCGCAAGTAAGTATTTCCCGGCAAACAAGTTGGCCGAAGTACATACAAAACCTTCCCCCATCACGCAAAATATGTGAATATGTGTAAAACGTAGTCCTTTTAACTAAACGCCCGAACCCAATACCCTATCTCAACCCATACTCCACCATCTGATAACCAATCGGCGGATTGTAATAACCATCTGTCGATACAAGCTATCCATGGGACACCGATACGGTGTCTGTGGATAGAACTTTGTATGAAAATGACAGTTGACGAAAGTTCGATTTCAACAGTTAATTATTTTAACAGATTTTAACTTACACCAGTTTTTTAAATAATTAAAAAAACTGTTTGTTATGTTTTAAACATACACATTTTAATACACATTTTAAAATTAAATTATTTGTACTTTATTTGGTTTACATTGATTATCAAATATGAGTGAAATCTCGGTAAAATGGAACGACAAAGAGCATTTTATCCGTCGCCAAAAATGGATTGCATTCGAAGGGTTTGGTTATTGGGATGCAGATAGGAGATCGATCGACTGTCACCGTCTGATCTCAGATACTTGTCAATCTGAGATTGTGGATTGATTATTGGCTTCGGGCGTTAATTGGTATATACCAGCTAACATGATTTAAACAAGCCATAATTTCTTAGGAAATAGGTTCTGCACTGCGAAATCTAAAAGTATTTTTATTGAAAACAAACTATTAGACCTTTAAACTTTTGATTTGAACTATTCCATAGGCTTTCTGACAACTAGTACTTAAATATATGTGGTTGTCCGAGGTACACCTATCCAAGGGTACGAGCGATGGCTTTATATTTGAATGTTTCCAGGTGTATGCAAACTACAGTAGCTGAATTGGAAAGGCAGTTGGCGTCGACTCGAGCTCAAGTCAAAAATGCAGAGAAAGATAGAGAAGAGGTAAGTTAAGATGAAATGGCTGAATATATTACCAATATTTTAACCGACTTTAAAGTAGATTATTTAATTACGTAATCCTACAGATAACATATATTATATATAAATAAAAACAATTGTACTATAACTATAGGCAAACATAGAATACATAATAAACAAAAAGGTAAGGAAAAAAGCTATTTAAAAAATAAAAATTATTTAATGCAATTAAACTAAGTAACACCTAATTTGATTGTGTTGTTTGACCAGATTATCAGTTAGAACTGCATGAACATGCTATAATTGGATTATTTGACTATTATGATTGTCTTTAGGCAATTTAGTATATGTATTATGTATATATATTTTTAATTGTCGTCGAGATGATCCTTTTGATTTAAATCAGTTATGTTTGATAAGAAACAGTCTTAGTTTTATCAATATTCGTATCGCAGTATTTTCTCCTTCCTCACTTTACCATGAAAATTGACAGGACGTTAAAAATTTACCGCTAATATTTAGAGAGGTTTAGTCGATACGCGCTCGTACAAAAATATTTTACGTTACTTCAATTACTAACAATTTAATATACAGACTTATCCAAACACCATCACCACTTGTAGTATGAAAAATAGGGATCATATTTTAAAGGTGATTTTTGCTTTTGTTTTTTTTTTACTTTATTACCTTTGAATAGGGAGATATTTTATTAGCTGTAATAACTTTTCGGCGATATTTATGTTGATATTATTTAACTGGCTTGCTTATATGTTCGGGTTGTACACAAGTAGTTGTCACATGTTCTTTTGTCAAGCAAATTTAAAAAAAAAATTATGCTTGACGTGTAAAAGTGTTTGTACTAACCTACTTACAGAAAATAAATCATTTATCATTTATTTATTGTCTTCTATGATTGACGAAGTCTGGTTTCTTCAGGTACAAAGCCGTATGCACTGTCAAATCAAGCGCTTGAATGAGAACTTCGAGCAGGCACAACTACGTATATTTGGACTGCAGTCCCAGGTTCAGGCCCTGAGAAGAACAGCGTCCAGCACTGGCGAAGGAGATGCGGAGCAGCAGGAGTGCGCCTGCAAAACTTTCTTTGACAACCCTTAATTCACAATGCTTTAATGTGTCAAAATATACTTAGTAATACTCAGGCTAAAATTCAGTGAAGTGCTAAGTACGAACGAAGTCCAATAATATGCATGTGCATGTGTGTGTGGCTTTGATAGATGTGAGTCTTAGTTCGGACTTTTTCTATCACGATATTTTAAAGCGTGTTGCAAGTTTTTTTTTAATACTTAATTGTGATATCAGTTTCTAAGTCAACATATGAAGAGTGTTGTTGGCGAAATTTATTTGGAAAATGTTTATAACTATTTACATTGCCTTATGACTAATTTGTTTTATTGTTTTATGTATTGAAAACATAGAAGTAAACAGTTCACTTAACAAGTCAATTGGATTGTTTTTACATCATTTTCCTATACAATGTTTTGGTTATATGAAATTTAAGATTTTTCTTGTTTTAAAGGGCCGTTTAAAATAAGATTGAGCTCAGCGCTCTAGACTTTGTCAAGTTATCTCTCAATTTTGCATAGAAAAATCTTATTTTATATTTTTAAAGTTATATTCAATTAAGTTTGTATTCTTCATATATGTTACATCGCCCATAAAAATATTATTTGTTGATAAATAAAAAATGAAAAATATTGCTTGTTATTGACTTTGATGTTGTGTGTCACATGGCACACGAGGAAAAAGGGTGGGAAAGCCATGGATCTTCTCTAAAGGTGGGAACTGACCAACGTTACGAGGTGTAATGTAACATGTTACATAGCGAGCATTCGTGCAGTCAGTACGTCGTGTTACGGGGAAACCAGCGAGCAACGAGCCGCTCGTTGCTCGCTTTGAGTGCTCCACCCGGCTGTCGGTTTTTTGGCGAATCCTTTGAGTGTTACGCGGTTCGGTCAGTACGTTCTTATATATCTATAATTTGTATCCTTTTTATGTACACTTGGTCCAATTAAATTCAACAGTTCTTCAATATCGATCGTAGACATGCGTACAAAGTTTTTATACTGTCCAGTAATCTAGGTTTTTTAATATTGCAATCAATGACAAACCACTACATGCGCCTCTGTTTTTAAATAAGTTTGATGTCCAGTAACGTTTTTCTTCTTTTTCTTAATTTGGATGAAACAATAAATATAATGAAAGACACGTCCTCGCTGTCGGCCATCTCGTGAACACTGGCGGCGAAAGCGGAGCACAGAGTTTTGACGAGCATGTTACGCCGATTTTAGAACAAAGCTTAACATGCTCGATGCGTAAAGCCCCGTATTTTTTAGGCGTCGGGACGTGACGACCCCATCGCCCACTGGTGAAATAACCTGTGACAGAGGTTATTTCATCAGCGCAATCAGTCAACCCCTTCCTAGTGGGAGTGCCATGCTGTTGCCTTCGGGCTTCAGCCAAATGGGCAGGCACGACCGGGGCAGTACCACTGTCTCTCAGAAAACCGGCGTGAAGTGATGCAAAAGGTTCGCCTTCTTGTACTCGCGTTTCGTGCGGTGAGAGAGATTCCCGGAGCCCATCCCCCCCCCCCCACACAAGAAATATGAAGGTGCAGAAAAAACAGAATCTACCCCAGGGGGGTACCACACGCGCTCGCGGTGGAGAATCCCCCTCTGGGCGTCCACCACCGGGACACTCAGCACCCGGTGGTGGACGCACAGGCTGCCCTTCGTATTCTGGGGGGGGGGCAATTCTGCGCTCTACAAAAATAGTAATCGTCCTCGGGGCAAACGGAGCAATTATACAAAGGCACCCCCGTCCACACTCGCCGTGGACTTCACAAATGTTAGGGGGCTTAATTCTAACATCAACGCTGTCCACTATCATCTAGAGACTGCGAAGCCGGCCTTGCTCTTTCTTACCGAGACTCAGATATCCTCCCCGGCTGATACTTCCCACCTATCCTACCCGGGGTACAAATTGGAACATTCATTTGTGCCGCGGGCTGGAGTTTGCGTGTACGTCAGAGAGGATATCTGTTCTCGTCGCCTCGGGACGCTTGAAGGAAGGGACCTATCTAACCTCTGGCTGCGCGTAGACTGCGATGACCATCCGCGATTCTACGCATGCCTGTATAGGTCCCATAGCGGAAATACCGAAACTGACCGACTCATTGAGCACATCCAAATGGCTACAGATTCCCTGCTCGAAAGGGTTCCTACCGCTGAAATCGTGATACTTGGCGATTTTAACGCCCACCATGCCGATTGGCTCGGCTCTGAAACCACCGATCACGCGGGAAGATCCTTTCACGACTTTGCTTTAGCCTACGACCTGACACAAATGGTCCCTGCGATTACGCGAATACCAGATGTGGATGGTCATAAACCCTCTTTGTTGGACCTTCTGCTGACTTCTCATCCGGAGAACTATCAAGTCTCTGTTGACCCGCCATTGGGTTCATCAGATCATTGTGTGGTCCGGAGTACTGTGCCATCTACGCGCCCTTCACGGCCCCGCTTTATGGGTTGTCGCCGTATTTGGCACTATAAGTCAGCAGATTGGGACGGGATGCGGTCTTTCTTTGCGTCCTACCCTTGGGGGGCCTATGTGCTTTTCGCCGGAAGCTCCAGATTCCGTCGCCGCCTCTGTCGCCGAAGTGGTTCTGCAGGGCATGGAACTCTTTATTCCATTTTCTGCGGTGCCGATCGGTGGCAAGTCTCAGCCCTGGTTTAAACGTTCTTGCAAGGCGGCCTCGCGTCGAAAGCGAGAATGCTTTAAGGCATGGGCGGAAGCGGCGAAATCTCGTGATGCCAATACCAGCGAACTTAAAAAAGCATATAACTCAGCCTCCAGGTCCTTCAAACGGGAAATCACTAAGGCAAAGTCAGAGCACATTGCCAGATTTGGCGAGAGATTGGCCCTACTCCCATCAGGGACTCGAGCCTTCTGGTCTCTCGCCAAAGCTGTCCAAGGGAATTTTTGTCAGCCCGCCATTCCGCCACTGCACAGGGAGGATGACTCTCTGGCCCACACTGCGAAGGAGAAGGCTGACCTTTTGGGCTGTCTCTTCGCGTCTAACTCGACTTTGGATGACCGAGGGAGATCACCACCGACCATTTCGCGGTGTGATTCTTCGATGCCGGAAATCACATTCCGGCAACGTGCTGTCCGCAAAGCACTATCTTCCTTGGACATTCATAAGTCGAGCGGGCCGGATGGTATCCCCCCAATTGTGCTGCGTACTTGTGCTCCTGAGTTGGCTCCGGTCTTAACGCGCCTTTTCCGGTACCTGTACTCGCTCGGCACTGTCCCGAAGTGCTGGAAGACCGCTTTGATACATCCGATCCCTAAAAAAGGCGATCGCTCTGATCCGTCCAACTATCGCCCAATAGCTATAACCTCCTTGTTCTCCAAAATAATGGAAACCATTATTAACAGCCAGCTCTTGAGGTATCTAGAGGGCCACCAGCTGATTAGCGATTCTCAGTACGGCTTCCGTCGTGGTCGCTCGGCTGGTGACCTCCTTGTATACCTTACACATAGATGGGCAGAGGCAATTGAGTCCAAGGGGGAGGCGCTAGCGGTTAGTTTGGACATAGCGAAAGCCTTCGATCGGGTGTGGCACAGAGCACTGCTCTCGAAGCTTCCAGCCTATGGGCTTCCCGAGAAATTACGCAATTGGATCTCCAGCTTTCTGGCCGATCGGAGCATCAAGGTCGTCATCGACGGAGCATGTTCCGACCTAAAACCCGTAAACGCTGGGGTCCCACAAGGCTGTGTTCTATCCCCGACCCTATTTCTTCTGCATATCAATGATATGTTGAAACTTAGCAACATTCATTGCTATGCGGATGACAGTACTGGGGATACTTTTTACACTGGCCGGGCAGGTATTTCTCGGGCAGTTGTTGATGAGTACCGGAACAAACTTGTGTCTGAAGTTGAAACTCTACTTCGTGGAGTCTCAGATTGGGGTAGACAAAACCTAGTCCAATTTAACCCCAAGAAGACACAAGTTTGCGCGTTTTCCGCTAAAAAAAACACCCTTTGTCGCTACTCCTCTTTTCGAAAACACTCTTCTTAAAGCCACAGCCAGCATTGGAATACTTGGCGTTGACATATCGAGCGACGTTCAGTTTCGCGGTCACTTGGAGGGAAAGGCTAAATTAGCCTCCAAAAAGCTTGGTGTGCTCAGCAAGGCGAGACGGTACTTCACTCCGGGCCACCGCATGCAACTATATAAAGCGCAAATTCGGCCCCACATGGAGTACTGCTCTCACCTCTGGGCGGGGGCTCCCCAGTACCAGCTCCTTCCACTTGACCGTATACAACGCAGAGCGGTTCGAATCGTTGACGACCAATCCCTCTCCGAGCGGCTTGATCCTTTGGCGTTGCGTAGAGATGTGGGGTCACTCTGCATCTTCTACCGCATTTACCATGGAGAGTGTTCAGAGGAGTTGTTCGGATTAATACCTGCAGCTGAGTTTCATCATCGGACGTCGAGGCAGAATACGAAATTCCACCCGTATCACCTCGACGTCCGACGTTCCACAACTGAGCGTTTCTCAAGGCAGTTTTTGCCGCGCACCACCACTATGTGGAACCAGCTGCCCACTGAAGTATTCCCGAACCAATTCGACTTAGGGTCCTTCAAGAAAAGAGCGTACCAATTTTTAAAAGGCCGGCAACGCACTCGCGAGCCCTCTGGCATTGAGAGTGTCCATGGGCGGCGGTATCACTTAACATCAGGTGAGCCTCCTGCCCGTTTGCCCCCCGTTCTTAAAAAAAAAAAAAAAAAAAAAAAAATTCATGGGAAACATTTGTTGAGCAACAAAGTTGAATCAACGTGTTGCGGAGTTGCTGTCAACATGTTGCTGGCAACACTGCGTGTTGCAGAGTTGACAGCATCATGTTGACAAGCTCTCGCCCGACAAGCGTAAACATCAGTTTAGCGACAATTGTTGACGTGTGTGGACGAGTTTGCAACAGTTTATAAACATGGCAGTAGTGTGGAGCAATGATAAAACAATGCAAATAATAGAACTGTTTCAATCAAAAGCATTATTATGCGATTCCTCAATTATAGAATACAAGTATAGAAACAAAAATAACGATGCATTTGAAGAAAGTTCTCGAGCCCTAAATATGCATATCATCAAATTTTCTCTTTGCAGAAGATAGTTTCACACTCACCATCTCTTTTTCTTATTTTTATTAGAAACCCTATACATCAGATACAGAGAACACAACAACACTACTTCCTCGGGCAACATTTAAACGCAGACTGCCGTGTGGACAACTTACATTGATTTAAACAAAGTTTCCAGCAACATTCTTGCCGCTCATCCACAATGTTGATCAACTGTTGCTAAACAAATGTTTACCATGAATACGAGGCTTAACACGCTCGATGCGAATGCTACATTACACCTCGTAACTTTGGTCACCCACCTTAACGATAAAAAAATAAAAAAATCTCAATATTTATTTGGCACTTAATTAAAAATCAGTACAATTATAATACATAAGGGCCGGGCCGCCTTATCGTTTTCGAATCAATGAAGAAATAAAAAATAAAACGAGCGCAAGAAGTGCAATACTGCATAAGATATACAATAAATTACGCTCAATATACTCGTAACGACACAAACAAATATAGAAACAAATAGAGAATATAGACAATGATGATAAATGAATAATGATAATTTCTAAAGCTGGCGACTGACATTGAATATTCGCTCGATGTGAGCACGTTACAAGTCGAATATTCGGCATGTCAGTATATCGAGTCGAGCAGCTCGATACGAACGCCGAGCACACTGCATTACATGTCAGTCGTCACCACCTCTACGTCCGCCATCTTGAGTGCAACTGTGGATGGGATGGAGCACAGGCGAATCGCCAATATTCAGGTTTTGTGAGCATTGTTGTGAGCATGCTCACAACGAACAAATATTAATGCGAAGATTCACATCAGTCGCCACCTTAAGAGCGAGTACACATTACGCGCTTTGGTAATGCACATCGTAAGGGCGGTTACAGACTAGCGTTTTTACTTAGCGCAAGGCAGGGATGGTTTGATGAAGTGTTAGGCAACAAATAGTATCATATTCTTCTGTGCTTTAGTTTCTTATACACTTTACACCTCAGAATTTCTTGGCTACACTTATGATAGTATAGACTCAGCTTGTAACTTGAGGCATGCCCCGGAAGACGGGTGAGAGTTTGTAACAGCATTAGTACTATTGACTTCAATTTCTAACGATCTAAGTTGTCCTAACTCCTACGAGGGATAAATATTTTTAGATGTTAGCTTCGGGAACTTTATAAATGTTGCCAGCTGCTGCAAAGCAAACTCTAAGCGATTCTTGTGCGAGGTGAGTATCACGATGTGGAGGGGTGGCAACCTCGTGAAACAAATCGACGCCTTTGCAAAGTGATGATAGCGCATCAAGGTTTTCCTGATCCATTAGTTTTGCACCTTCCTAAAAATTTCCATACAACATATTACGCAAATTGTCTATATGACTCGGTCGTATAATATTACATATTATAACTGTATCATATATATTTATATAAGGACAGAAAATATAATTTTCAATTGGTTCTAAAGGAAATAACGTTAAATACATTGTTTAGATAAATGTAATGATTTAAAAAAAATGTAATAAATAAATAATCAAACAAAATATTAAAAGCTTATGCAAATAAAAGCGCAAAGCACTAAATTTAAATCTCCTTTCGAACAAACTTTTGTGTAACGTCCTAGTTTTATGTAAAAAATTAGTTTTTTTTCCTACAGTACCTATATGTTATACAGGGAACCATTTCCACGGTGTAGTAGTTAAGACACATGGCGTATTATTACCGATGATGACTGTTCAATTCCCAGAAAAATTATATTAATTTCATGTTGGTATTTATATATATTTTTAGTTCTACTTTTCCTTTAATAAGTATTTTTATCTATTCTAACGAATTGTTAATGCGAAATAACCTCTGAAACGTGCGTAAGGACAATGATCAATGATATTGACACAGCAATATCAGACACATTCCTGGCTCCTTTAAGGGTTATGACTTATGGGACTACGAGAATCCGTTCTAGATGTTTTAAAGTCGATACTCACTTGATACAGTGTTTGACATTCGTCAATATTTTCCATGCACATTTTAATCAATTTAGGATCGATCACTGTCGAACATTTAGAGCATTTGCTTGGCAAGCTCTTTGGATTTGCTTGGAACTTACTAGAACAATCCGTATTGGGACATCTGCAAAGAAAATAAATGTTTGAATATTATGTTTGTAAACCGTGTGATTCATGTGAGTGTGACGTGCACAGGAAGCCGATCACCTACTTGCCTATTAGATTGACAATTGATTATGAAACAGATACATAACATATTTTCTTTCCACATACCTAAATAAGTTGTAGCACCACTGATTTGATGATGTGACAGTGAGGCTTAATAACAGCTACGGTCAGAACTTAAAACGAATCCGTGTCTGTGATTAGACTAAAGTCTTGTCCAACTAAAAATCGTTACACACACAATCGCTTATCAGTTACAGTCTATTTTGAGATAGAAATATTTTTAATGATAACTTGGTTAACAATCGTATTAGTATCCTGGCAGCCCGAGGTAATTTGTCTCTCTAGGTTTCTTGTTACATTGATTAATACCATAATCAGTCACCCCAAGTGGTCACCATTTCTACTTTATATTAATGTTAATAATGGCATAAAACAATGTCAACATAGAGGTCTACTGCGTAACTGCGGGCCGATGGCTGGCCATGCGTCATACTCGTGAACGGGTGCTACTTGTGGTGACTGGTCGTGCTTGAATTCGTGTATGCGGTGATGTTAATTATTTCGACTATGTGTTTGCGTGTTGTTCCCACGAGAATGTAAGTGCGTGCTCCTATTTCACCATGCCTCCCGCTGATAGAGGACAAGTCTTTGTTTTTAATTTATTTTATTATTATTAATTACTTAAGATGTCATGTGGAACATGGTGTAATGGTTGCAGCTCCTTACAAACGTTGTGTAAAAAAAAATGGCGATTAAAAAGAGTGGCGGAGAGTTTATTGCCAGCCCTTGATTTGAGAACTGGCAGTAAATGTAAAATTAGAAGTATTAATATGTATTTCTTTAATGACGAATCACAATTGTACATTGTGTTACCTACGTGAATAAATGATTTTTGAATTTGAATTTGAAGTTGAACTTCCGAAAGCGATAGCGATTTGAAAACACACAGTTGAGAAACTATAATAAATAAATAATAAAAGTCTGATTATTCATTTTAAAGGTACATATCCATTACAATGTGTAAGATTTGGTGATTTGGACCTTTTAAGTATGAAATACCTGTGTCAGGGTTCCCAGCTCTTCCATAACAAACTTAAGTATAAATTCCTTAAAATATTCCTTATAAAAATTCCTTATATATAATTTAATTACATATTTTATTTTATTTTATTTACTTTTCAACTGTTATCAACACGCCTGAGTGCATGAGTGAGTGTGTGGGTGCAAATGTGTAAGTGAGTGAGTAAGTGAGTGAATGAAAAAAGTGTGTAACTACATACTAGGTCTCAAAAGTATCTCTAACACTGCGCAAGGTATGCTCAGAAGCCAGGCCTTTAGTCGTACATTGTACACGGTGAGCGGGTTGATATGAAGCAGCCTATTTAATTTATTATATATATAGTCTGCTTGCATATTGCGTCTGGCGAAGTCAGTCCTTACTGTCTGACTTCCGACAACATCCCTATTTCTTTTTAGGTACAGCCTATTATCAAACGGGAGTGCTCTGTCATAATAGTATATTGTCGTAGTTGCAACTCTGTTAGAGAGACTCAAGTTACGTAGCCCTCAAGACAATAATCTCCCATATAAGGCAAGTCTTTGCCATAGATGATGCAATATTTTTAGAGCACAACTTTTTTTAAACGTACTAGTAATAATATTGAAAATTATACGTTTGAGATGAACAGCCAATGAACTGAGGCGGGATGTTCTGTGTGTTGTTTTTCTACCATTTTTATAAATATAATACTATGTAACGTTGAACTTTGAGTCTTGCTTGAACGCACGCAAAACGATATTTTTAGATAATATATCTAGCTCGTAGGTATTGGTCAGGAAATCGTGTGGATATATTGCTTATTTTTTTGTCTTTTACGCTAAGAATACGACAATAGCATTTTTCATATGGAGAAACCTTTCTTTTGCCCTAGACTCTAAGAAATGTTAACGTACTTTTTGTAACGTAGGGGGCAAACGAGCAGGAGGCTCATCTGATGTTAAGTGATACCGCCGGCCATGGACATTCTCAATTCAGAGTGCTCGCGAGTGCGTTGCCGGCCTTTTAAATATTGGTACGTTCTTTTCTTGAAGGACCCTTAAGTCGAATTGGTTCGGAAATACTTGGTTTTAAAAATTGTTTTTTAATAATAGGTTTTTATACTATCAATTAAGGCAAGATGAATTGCCTTTAATCAAAGAAAAAACTTTTCTTCTATTGACATATACGTAGAAAAACTGTTGTATTACCGTAAATATGGAGTCAACGATTGCATTTGCTTCAGCGTCGGCCAATCTTCTCGACACGCGACGCATTCACATTGGAACCAATACCGGCAAGCCAGAGCCCTTCGCCTCTCCTTATAACTCCGCACAAGGAAGTGTGGGCCATAGTTTTCAGAGACCGTGGCCCCAGGACTTAGCGGTCGGATTGCACGAAGGACAATCTTCTTTCCTTCGAAGTACCTTTAATAATATTACGGTGGAGTTAACATCTAAAATAGCTTTAACGAGTCCGGCCTTTGAGGGAGGAGTTCACTTGAATTTTGATCAATTGAAGGTCGTGGAAGGGAAGGGAAGGGAAGGGAAGGGAAGACCCCCACCAGGAGTCGATTCCACAGTTCACTAGTTCGCAAAAGAAAATGCCTTGTGAAACGGACTGTGGAAGACTTCCTTTCTTCTTCTGAAAATATATATTTTTTAAAGAAATTTGCTAATATACAAATATATTATATTACTATTCCTATTATATATTCATAGGCGAGTCGAGTAGGGGCCCGTCATCTCGCCTCCGCTACGCCCGTGTTACAGTGAGTGACGCGTTTTTTCCGCGGTAAATGCTCGTTGGTTACCTTTAAATCGATTTGTGCAGATCCAGATTACACAGAACATTCAAAGAGGAAATCTGGAGACTGGCAGCTACAAAACTAAATATAAAGAGCGGTTAATCTGTCACCAGAACGAACTTGCTCGCCAACTTACCATAGAACAGTATGACTGGCAGTAGCTCTAGGCAGCAGAGGAGTAGATGCTTCCAATGGGAAACCACTCCACATGACAGAACCACAGAACAGATTCAATAGACTTAGGGCTGATAGCATTTACAAAGGTAAAAAAAAATCGCATCTGGAGGCTGCAATATGAGTGATGCATCTCATTATAGTGTCCTGACACTATAATGAGATGCATCACTGTCTGACTTCAACTCGAAACAACTACCGGAAATGGACTTCGGTATCATTTATAAGCCAAAAGTTAACGTCTAATCCACATAAGTCTAATTAATTAAGGTTAATTTAAAGAAACACCGACCTGGCTACGGCTGGATAGCATTCATGATTAAATAGAGCGCCTGTAGGATAAATTCCAACTGCAATGTATACTGGCTTTGATCCAGAAAACTGGTGTTGCCCCCTTACTGTCTCATAAATTTCATGGGCATTGAATTGCAGGAGTTGTAGGTTGTGAATAATAAGCTCGCATATAGAGGTTTTAGCTGAAATTTTAATGAAATAAAATATATTAAGAAAAAATCCGACTTCAACCAACCATTATTCAGATACTTTTATGTCCCATTTAATATATAATAAATAATAATAGATAGAATAGATTTGATGAAACTTGGAATTTTACCCAGGTCTTCATATATTATTAATGAAAATTATAAAATAGTGTCCACTTTTAGCGTGTATATTTATAATAATAAATATTCTAATATTTTGTGTACAATTTTGAGCATAAACTTTTTTCACCAATGGAAGCTTACCGGTTATTAAGAAGGTTTTACTTCACACTTTATCTTTAAATACCAAATTTCAAATTTTTCTAAATCCGTTCATCGATCATTCCCGATTTAAATTGCTTTGCAATCAACGAAAATTATTATACCTAAACTATTTACCGTGCCGGTTTTCTCTCAATGGAAAAGCTTTCAAACAGAAAATAGGTCGGGAATCGAGCCAAACTCAATCTGCGAAGGACGTATAGAAATAACAATTACGTACAAAATCTCACACGTCGCGTAGCAGTTAACCCGCGTCAAACAGTCATTAAAGAAAAATGAAAATTATCATATTTTTATATGAAATTTGTGGTTTTAATATTAAAAAAATAAAATATGTTTATTATGGAACATAAGATACATGTATCACTTATTCCACGTCATTAAATTTGAATTTGTAGGCATCCCTACACATCGGCAAAGAACACAGAGGGTGTAGGCCGAGAGAAAAAGCCGGCGTAAAAAAAATATTACCGTTGTCAAACCAAAATGGTAATTATTAAACAAACCATTGATGTTCATGTAAGTTTTGATCCGACAATGATGTAACCCGCAGTTTCCTTCTTTGTGAACTCATAAGCGGAAGTACGGATTTAAGTAGCATTTTGCAAAGGAATATTACGGGCATTGAATACTCGTGTATTCAATGTCTGTAGTATTCCCGTAACCAGCTGTAATCGCCTTAATTATAGGTCTTTATTTAGTGTGTCGACGATGTAGTAATAAAATAAATTTATCTTTATATTATACTTTTTTGTTTTTGTGTAATAGTGATAAAGTTATGTATAATATACGTATTATTAGATAAAAAAAAATATCAATGGCGCTACAACCGTTTTTAGGTCTGGGCCTCAGATTTCTGTATCTGTTTCATGATCATTTTTTAATCTAATAGGCAAGTAGGTGATCAGCCTACTGTGTCTGACTTTTTGGGTCTAAGGCATGTTGGTTTCCTCACGATGTTTTCCTTCACTGTTCGGGCAAATGTTAAATGCGCACATAGAAAAAAGTCCATTGGTGCACAGCCGGGGATCGAACCAGCGACCTCAGGGACGAGAGTCGCACGCTGAAGCCACTAGGCCAATACTGCTCTAAAATATAAATTATTACATACATATGTTTCTTATTGAATACTTAAATTTGTTTGAAAATTTTTACTACGCAGCCTTGCGATTCTGTAACTCACTTTTCAAAAAAAAACAATAAACTACAAGCTCCCACCTTATCAGAATGCCAAATCATAAAATGACTCCTTTACGACTGATTTGAGCGTGACCGCCGCTGTGAAAACCGCTGTGTGAGTTCGAAAAGTGAGTTACAGAATCCCAAGGCTGATGAGGATTAAGAGTTGAGAGTTTAACATTAGGTGTTCATGCTCCTCTCCATGCATATACTTTACGCGCTTCGTGTTAGCGAGCGAGTAAGAAAAACTACATTAACAACGACGCCCGCATGCTGAACATTTGAAAACATTGTCGTGTTACTGTTTGTTGTATAGCAAAAGAAATGAAGATTTCCATAGGAAGTGTCTATTTATAAGTCCACTCATCCAGTGTGATATTACATACAAGCATTTAGGTATGAAAAATGTGTCTGGGCACTGAAACTGTTTCATGTTTCATTTCACAAAGCTGTTTGGGTCTAGTCTAAGATCTTGGCTAATTTTTGGCTCAATTTATAACTATGTGCGAAACATGGCTTCACCATTATGACCCAGAAACGAAGAAGCAGTCCATGGCTTGTAGGAGACCGTTATCTTCACCTCCTATGAAATTTAATTAGGGGTGGTAATGATTGAACGGCTTGATTATGGACCAATTATTACGGTACTTTGTAGACTAGACAAATAATAAAGTTGCGTGAGGAAATACGCAACTTCACTTAAAGTTATTTTTTTTTCATCAAGATAACGCTTCAGCGCACAAGTCCAGGACTGCAATGGCAGTTTAAGAAGCAGGCTTCGACTTGATAGACATCCTCTGTAAACACCGGGCCTAGCTTCTAGTGATGTCTACCCATTTTCGCGGTTAAAGAAACATGTCAGATGCCATAAATATGAAGATGATGTCGCGGAAAAAAAACCACGATGATTTAAAGGATCAGAAAAGAAGATTTTTGAAAACGGGAATTTTAGCTTTGGAAAAATGTGTATAAACCTGAAAGGGGACTACATCGATAAATAAAATAGAGATTCCAAACAGAGATTGTTATAGTTGCTATGTGTTAACTTACCATTCCTATGAATATGTAATATACATATTAAATACCTGGATAAAACTCAAAGAGGAGTTAATATAATCTCACCAAGCCGCAAAAAGATTTAACTTAATTTACCTTTAATCTCGCTTTCCATATCCAATTTATTAAAAAAGCCGCTTCTCTTTAAACATTCAGTGAGAAACATCGCCATTACTACCCGTTTGAGATAGTCCCGCCCTTTTCTCGAAGTAGAATGAGTACATAAGGAATATATTTGTGCAGCTGTCATCTCTAATTTGTCTTGATAGCTCTCTTTATCTTCCACACTTTTTGTCTCGCAATTTACATTTTGATCGGAAAAATTCTTGTGATATTTTCTCGATCTATTTAATCTTTCCTTTCTACTTTTTATCCTTGACTTCTTCGCGGATCCTTCGATATCATTAACGATCGTACCTTCGACGGTTTTAATACCGTTATTTACGTAACTTGAGTAGATTTGTAAGCTCGTCTCTAAGCCTGCTTGTGTTATCATCCGTAGAGCAATGTGACTGAGTATTGACATGCCAGATCCTGAAATAGAATGCATTCTCAGTAAAGGGTTAAAGGTATATTGTGAATCTAGTAAAATCAATAGAAAACAATCCGTTTATTGTTTCTGTAATTTGTTTGATAGTCCCCTCATTCACTTATGAAATTAACACGCATATGCACATATTTTGAAAGGACTAAAAGACCTAGTGTCTCTTTTCTGTCAAATTAGTTTTTCTTCATATAACATTGATATACGAGGCTTCTGAAGCAAAATTTATTGCCAAATTAAGACGGTACATACAATATATCTTTGATAAAATGATACTTAAAAATTTTTATTTCTCAGAATATCAAGTAATTTCATTATACATAATAATATGGAGTTGTCCAAAACAGAAGTAAAATATAACCGCTGATGCCGCTTAAAATAATTATATCTAATATATCAAATTCTCGTGTCGCGGTGTTTGTAGTTAAACTCCTCCGAAACGGCTTGACAGATTGTCATGAAATTTTGTGTGCATATTGGGTATGTCTGAGAATCGGACAACATCTATTTCTCATCCCCATAAATGTTAAGGGTGGTCCCACCCCTAAATTTTTGTTTTTATTTTTTAGACAAAACTTTTTGTTTTTTTTTTATGATACATAATACCAAATTAATATATTAATATTTTCCCCCCTCTACGATCAACCCCTATTTTTTATTATAGTAGATAGTTATATTTATTAAACTAAAAAAAGTTTCCTAGAAATAATATACATGGCAAAACGACGTTCGCCCGGTCAGCTAGTTACCTATAAAAATGTCTATGAATTTACACTCATGAGGGTGGTAGGTCGTTACAGCAACGTCGCGGCATTCGACGCTACAAAACGCGACACCCGAACAAATAGGACACCAAATTGGAGCTCCATTGTCACAGATTTCGAGCCTGCAAAAAATAAATGAAAAGCTTCATATGTTGGGCCCGTTTTGTTCAAAAAATCTGGAAACATATCGTATGATTAACGAATGAAAATTCTTTATCTGTTTCGATTTTTGTTGGAGTAAAAAGAGAATGTGGCCCACTGTTGTTATTTTGTAATAATATGTACAAACGATACGGTCAGCCGATAGCAGTAAACTTTAGGGCTTTCAATTCTAAAAACGTGTATTTGCCAGTCATTTAGTGAAGACTAAGCTTAATGCTCGCCTTCCACTGCGAGCGGAACGGACCCATTACCGACTCCGCTATACTCGTAACGATGATTTTCATTTCCGTAGGAAACTCGGTCAACTCGCTAACCTCATATTTGACTCTTTCAACTCGCTCTCTCCGCCGCGCTCGTCTCCGCTTTGGTGGAAGCACATGTATAAAAATCATCGTTACGAGTATAGCGGAGTCCGTAATGGGTCCGTTCCGCTCGCAGTGAAAGGCGGGCATTATTTCCGGAACATTGTTCATCTTTTGAACTTAAAAACGTAACTTTCTGAACGAATTGTTTGCTCCTTTTACGGTAACCGCAGATAATTCTCGTTGAAAAATTGTCTGGTATTTTCCTCTTTTTGTCCAGTTTTTCATTAAAAACTCTCACCTTTTGAAACAGTGCAAACAATGAGAGCCGTAATAATCAGATATGAGGCACGCTGCGTAGGGACTGTCAACTAAAAGGACATCGCCGGTTTTTATCTGATCATTTGCGACAACAAAACGTCCCTGAAATATAATAGTTACTTACAGTCACGACATCCTATACTATAATTAAGATCTTTATGAATGGTCTAAATTATGTTCACTGATGAACAAAGTCATTTTAATTATTACACTTATTTATACCACCACTATGTGGAACCAGTCAACCCACTGATGTATTACCGAACCAATTCGACTTAGGGTCCTTCAAGAAAAGAGCGTACCAATTCTGAAAAGGCCGGCACGCACTTGCGAGCCTTCTGGCAATGTGAGTGTCCATGGGCATATGACTTAACATCAGGTAGGCCTCCAGCACGTTTTCCTCCTGTTACATAAAAAAAATACATACGTAACTTGGCCAGATATCAGAGCTTTGAAGAAAATTACTTATGGAACTTTTATGGAGCTTTTAAACACAGGCAAAATTATTTACCGGCAATTAAACACTGTATTTGAAACGCATGGTTTTGAATGAGCATTATTTGGGCTTATTTAGTCATCAACATGCATTTTATTTGGACTTGTGAATTAATTGTTACCTTATTTTCTTCTTCAGTTATTTTGACTAACTTTGATAATGCGGGTTTGTTCATCTTAGCACCGCCCGTTAGAGTTATGCCTAAAATATGAAATAGTATTATCCACACTAAAACCTTCTTATAGCTTAGTCGTTTATATATATACTAACGTAGAATAAAGATTTAAGTTGGTAAATAGTGCCGGTGACCCCAGAGCTGGTGCTTTCCTCGCTCAACAAATAAGTATCGCAAGCCTTAAAGGTACACTGCCATAGGGACCAAAATTTTTTTCAATTTTCTTTTTATTAATGTTTAATTATTTTTATTGTTATAATATTTAGGTTTTAATAAACGATTCAGTACTTATATATTAAATAATTTCGTACTGGGAAGGAAATTTGGCAAAATTATACGGTAAATTAAATTGAACTGAAGTGTCAAGAGATTTTCATCTTCGTGTTTTATTTAAAAACAGTTAATATTGGCAAAGAAAAACTTTGTAGTTTGAATACGAGGACGGTCCTTTTTAAGTGTTATGGGACTTCATGCAATACTAATTTCACTTAGGTCTTGTGCCTTGGAATATAACAGAACAAAAATTAATGTGATTAAAATACCAGACGATTTTGTAGCCGATTTATTTAGTGTGTGGTCGAGTGATTCTATATCTTTTTGCAATTCGATTTTCGCCTCTTCATTGTTGCCCAACAGCCGACCAGCTAACTCGTAAGACACTTTGGCTCTTGTTGGCTCTAGTGCTCCTGGAAATTTACATTACATTAACTGAAAATATCTAACTTTGGCACATTGGTAATTGACACAGAGATCTACTACGATAACCACTTCTTGATGTACATTCTAATGAGTTTTGTCAAAATATAGAACAGATTTTCATCGATTGTGTGTACCTGAAAGTTAACTAGTCAATGAACCACATAGTAAGATATACGAAAAGCAATTGCTAAGTCTAAATAAGATTGTAATATGAACCATAAACAGATGTGTACTTTGTAACACCTTTCAGTGAGCTGCTCACCTCTTGCAGTACCCAAAAAGTATTAATATTTTTACTTTTTACCTTTACCACCAAGACGGTGCTATATTTATTACTCCCTGTGTTTTTAATCATGTATAATTGATAATAATAAGATTGCCTTATATTCAAATAAAAACATAACAAAACGAAGGCGATCATCAGGTGGTCGGTAATAAAGAAACTTTCTTTGAAATAATGAACAAAAGGCGTTTGTATAAAGAAAGGAACAAGGTAACAACAATTTCCGGATATTTTTCAAAAACTCTTAAAAATGAAAGAAGCCATTTCAATTGGAAATATATTGCTCAAGCAAAGGAACAGCGGATACTTCGTTTACACGATGCTTAAACTTCGAATGTTTGAAATAGTAAAATTAGTACATTTTGTCTATGGTTAGGCTATGGAAATCACTTTATCCGCTCAAATCCCACTCAATTTTCCGTTGAATCTCTGCTCTAACAGCATTACCTGTCCAGATGGCTTACCTAATATAATTTATCAATTATCCAGATACTTGATACACATTTACCCGTTGCATTCTCTATATTTGTTTTTGTATTCTTTACATTTTAGTAAATGTACAATATTTGTACTATATGCGCTTCCCATTAGCCGGAAGGAGAATGCTAACTAAATTATCTTTCCTCGGTATCGATTTTATGCTAGGAGTATGAAATATTTTATGCAATATCTATATTTTTTAAATCTGTCATTACAATAATTGTACTACGCATTTAAATGAAAACACATATACTACGTTAAAACGTTTAGTTATCACAATATTTTTTTAAGTTTCCAACCGTGGCCAAGCTAGTTGTAAAACGAAAAATCGGTACAGAATTATTATTAATCAAATTAGAGATATGATAAATTGTAAAAATAAATTTATTTTTAATTGACTTTCTAAATTAAAAAATACATTTCATGAATGCGTTCGGATGTCAGTTGAACGACTAGCCTAATATTTACTGCCATTGCAAAGTAAATGATGCCGACGAGGCCATATTGACCCAATTTTAACCCGTTTTCGGTGTAAGTTGTACGCATCGAGAAATCAGTTAAAAGTTAAATGGGTCAAGCGTAAATAATGGGTCAAATGAAAGGAGTTTAAATTATTATTTTCTTAAGTTTTTTTTAGGAAAGTTATGGGGCAAATTTATTGTAAACGATCCAATTTAATTTCAATAATGGCTAAATCTAATTATTTGTAAATAATTTGAAAATTTATTTATTTATTTATTTACACTTCGTTGCAAATAAAAGAAACACAATACATAAAAATTATAAGGGATGCAACGGGCGGCCTTATCGCTAATAAGCGATCTCTTCCAGGCAACCCTAGTTAAAGAGAAATACTAAAAAAAAAAGAAACATGATGCGTGCGAGAAGTGCAGAACCAAATGTTATATATATAAAAGAATATATATAGAACCTTAATCTAAAGTAATACAAAAGAAAATATTAATAACAGACTAAAAACTTAAAAGCTAATCTTACATATTCATGAACAGCAATAGTGATGCAAAAGGAAACATAAGAATTATACAAGTCACGATTTAAATAAGTATTTAAAACAAATTGCTACATTTTGTATGTAAATTAGAGATTCATATAAAGAGAAAAAAGAAACAACGTGACTCACTTTTTGGCTGTTCTCAGCACGTTTTTGAAAAACCGGTAAACTTTCACCCTTATTTGTTAAAATAAACCTTTCTAATTGCATAACTAACTCACGTGACAAAAAGACCTCACGTGTTCTTTTTATCACAATTTTATTGTGTTTAGACAATTTGACAGAAAGAGATGAAGAAGTTCATTAATTAGGAGTTTAATGAGGCTGATTTACTGAGTAAACAGAGGTATGTATGCCAGTTTTTTAACAATTCTAAGGAGTACGCAGCAGTATATACCTTTGTTTTTATTAACTTTATTGGACAGACAAAAAAAAAAACGTGTGGCACTCGGGGACTGCCGCGGTAAAGCTATTGCAGCAGTTATAATTATTTATTTATTTTTATTTATGCAGTATTTGTTTTTCTTTGATATTAATTCAAGTTTTTTCTTTGATATTATTTCAATCTACCACTCTACCAGACTCAGACTAAAACGCCTATATAGTCTGTCTCACTCTAACGCGTATCGGCTGCACCGGTCGCGCTCCCCCTACGTCACCGATCTCGCCAGAGAGATGGGAATGCGCAGTATGCGTTCTATTCCACTCTAACGCGTATTTGCCGCACCTATATTACGTCATCGTGTGTTAGGTTTTTTTCGTAACGGAACTTCTTGATTCGGTCGCCGCGCTCAAAGCCCGCGATAAAATCTATGCAATAGCTTAAAAATCAATTTCGATTATTAAAATTTCCGTAACTGATTGTATAAGAAATAAATAAATTATGTGTTTTGTGTCAGTTATAATCTACTAAGTAAACATGTTATTGTACTACACTCACGTGACTTTTAAAAATATATACCTACAAATTTGTTCATGCAGTCTATGGTTATCAAATGCTGACATGCCACTAATCACACCGGAGTTTAGTTTTGATTCTTACATCACTAAAATAAATATACGTCGAACCAATAGCGTCACTGTCAGATACCATTGACAATACGTCACAGAATTTTTATTTAACAAATCAAAGTCAAATCAGTTTGTCAATGCTAGATGTCTGTTTGAATTGGCAATGTTAGCAACATTCTATAAATTAATGACTATTTAATGCTCGATAATAATTCCATAATCAGTATTAGAAAAGTAATTTATATTTATTATTTGAAACTTCAAGTCAAACAATATTAAAGTAACCATTTGACACTTGTTCCCACGACTGTGGTATTCGGGATCCTAAATATAGGCACTGTTAGTTCGATTGAGTGGTCACATCAAGCAGACGCCTTTACAACCTTTACAAGGACTCTTGAGTGGAAATTCAACGGCCGATGCCAACAAACTAATTTTTAAAAATTATCTGCAGATCCTGTTTTTGTTAATATTCAAGTCGTGCATTTACGTTATTTTTTGCTCCTCTCTAGTCGTCTTTACCAGTCTTACCCTATTTTTCCGTCAATTGTCTTTCATTCTTTTTCCGTCATGTACAATATTGGATGCTGTGCTATGCGACCGTATTCACTACAACTAACGTTTCATAACTGAGCCGTCACATATCTGGTAAATGTGTTTTCATAATCTACATAAGTGGAAATAGCATATTGTACATTTAGGGAAAGAGTGACTGATTCCAGTTCTAGGGTGGAAACGCGCTTTTTACAATTAACACATAGTGCACTAAGTAGAACACTACACTAAGGAGAACATTTAAATCCCGATTAAAATACAATTAATTAATGAAAAAAGAACGCAGTCATTTTCATTAGTTTTTTTGCATTTATATATAATGACTTTTTGTCGTGAGGCAAGAATACACGTTAACAATTGTACGTCTTTGTTACACTACATATAATAATAAAATAAATAAGACGCCTCTTTATTTTTTGCAAAAGAACAAAGTAAACTTAATACTATTTTTACAAACATATTTTTAAGAAAGTAAATTAAACAATTATTATTATTATTATATTTTTTCCTAATTTTTGTATCTATTTCCCAATTAATATTTTGCAAGAACCCTTCCGCAGGTGTAGGCCTCCTCCAGGGATCTCCATGTATCTCGGTTTTGGGTGAGCTGCATCCAGCTCACATACATACACTACATATAATTAAATATAATTAGGAGAAGTATAATTCAATTCACGTACCTTTATAACAGTGGCCCATTCGCCAATAGTATTGCGCTCGCATCTTCGCAGGAAGGCGTTCCTTTAACGCAAGTTTTAGATCTTCCAACGCAGCGTTTGGCTTTTCGAGTTTCAATAGAACTTCTGATCTAACCCAAAGCGCCAGAGCAAGGGTCACGCCACCATCAATAACTTCATCCACACCTGTCAAAATGTCTCTTAAAGCTCACTCATATTGTGAAAATTACCTCGCTGAATGATTCAAAAAATTATGTTACAAAATAGAAGTCCGCTATTATCTCTGAATAGTTTAATGGGTAATCACAGTCCATAGCATAACGCTTTCGAAATATTCATAGCAGCACAGGTACTCTGTAACTTTAAATTGCAATCTCCATTACGATCTCAACACATACCTATGTTGAGTTTTGCACCAGGCAATCTCAGAGTATTATACATTGTTTGACATCTAAAGTAAGCCGAACAATCGTCACACCTCTTTTATATAAATAAACTGATTAACATTTTACCGTTTCACTCAAACACAAGCAAATCAACAAAAATAAAAAAATATATATATACAGTTTTTTAATAATAAAAGTTTAAGTTTAGCATCTTCTTGTCTGATATACATTTTTTAATATTGTTATATTATGAGAGTGTTTCATACGAAAACACCATTAAATAATATTGAATTTCACAAACAATATTTAGTAAAGTTACTTTGATTCCCCTTCAAAAGGTTGACTAATAGTCTAGTCGACAAGTTGAAAATGATACAAAATAGAGATACTGCTCTTAAAATTATGTGCGATAGCTCATTGGATCCGGCATGACGTCTAGAAAAATGTGCTAAAAGCGTGTATTAGCACATAAAAAATTGCAAAAGTTATAAACAATTAAAGATGAAAAAAAAAATGGCATTTCGTTTTAATAATTTTTTTTCTTAATGTAGAAAGTTGCCAATACTTTTATTGTTTTTCGAAGTAATCTCCGTTCCTCTCTACACGTCGTCGCATTCGACCACATCTTCAGGGCTCGTAAAGCGAATACCTCGAATTTTATCTTTAGTTTTGGGTTCGTAGCAATATGTCCAGCTTTCATGACCTGTGACGATGTCAAATACAGCACTTGAGTCACCGCCGTTGAGCTTATCTAACATTTGGCGACACCAGTCCATGCGAAGGTGTTTCTAGTCGTCGGTTAAAGTATGGAGAATCCATCTGGTACAAAGCTTCCTGACGCCTAAATGTTTGAGTAATATTTTTTTAACTTAACTCATACCAATGCCTAGGCCCGTATCTGCTGATAGGTCCCTCTCTTATCTTCCTCTACCATGCGTCGCACAGCACTGATGTTATCTTCAGTAGTCGCTCTTAAAGGACGTCCCTCACGCGGATCATCATTGAGATTGCTACGTCCACGCTTAAACTCGTTAAACCAATTGTAAATAGTGGCACGAGATGGGGCTTCATTAAGAAATGCTAATCGCAGCCTATCAAAGCTTTGTTGTTGAGTAAGCCCACAACAAATGTCATAATAAAATTGACCGAAAATTTTCTCGCGTTAGGTTAATTTTCACGTGTAACAAGAGTTTTAGATTTGCCGCCAATTCACAAAAACAAGTGACAAATGAATGCAATACACTACATTAGGTTACCAAAGAGTTCAAACATGAAATTCAAAAAAAGTTTTCATTAGCAATGTTTCTAACTGGCCCATTCTAAACATTTTCAGTGTTACCATAAACACATATTATGTCATTGAAATATCCATTGAAAGACACGGAGCTATGGAAAATATATTGGTGATTGCAATTGATAAAATAAAATAGGCAATACCACCTTTTAGTTATTCTTGAATATATAATTAAGTAATTATATAGGAAAGTTTATGTATACCTATTTTCATTACGAGTACCTATTAAAAAATATTTTTTAATCTTGAATAAAATGAACACGTATGTTGTACAAACCCACTTTAAATTTCATTATCTAACTCAAACTCAAACTCAAAATATCTTTATTCAAGTGGGTAACCAAGTACACTTTTGAATTGTCAAGTTAAATTAATTGTAAATTTACATTTACTACCAGTTCGCAAGTCAAGGGCGTAGAGCGGGTAAGAAGAACTGGCAAGAAACTTTTCGCCACTCTTTTTAATCGCCAAGTATTGTCGTACAAATTGTTTGAACTGGAGCAAATCAATCCCAAGGATTAGGATCATTTAAGTATTCCTCAAATTTATAAAACGCTTTATTGATTAATTGCCGTTTAACGAGGGCTTTGAATTTATTTAGTGATAATTCTCTAATTTCGCTTGGGAGTTTGTTGTAAAACAAACAATTAAAATTAACTATACTAGCAAAACTATTACAATCTAATATTATTAGCTAACTGTATATTTAACCATGAAATAGCCTTTAATCCCTCACCTAGTAGAGGCATCATAAAAAATCCGATAATATTTTTTTCTAATGCAGTAACGGTTTAAAAGAAGGATCTTCGTACCGAGGTAAATCCAATTTTATCTGCTGCACTTTATAAGTAGATTTACGAGGTTTTCCCCATTATTATATAACTGAGTATAAAATTAGTACCATATTTTTGCTATACTTAGCAACTTATGGAGAAATGCATACTTGTGGTGACTGGTCGTACTTGAATTCGTGTATGCTATGTTAGTTGTTTCGACTATGTATTTGCGTGTTGTTCTCACGAGAATGTAAGTGCGTGCTCCTATTTCACCATGCCTCCTGCTGATAGAGGACAATTCTATGTTTTTAAATTTATTATTATTCATTACTAAAGATTTCACGTGGAACATGGTGTAATGGTTGCAGCTCCTTACAAACGTTGTATAAAACAAATAACTTGGCGATTAAAAAGAGTGGTGGAGTGTTTATTGCCAGTTCTTCTCTTCCGTTCTACGCCCTTGATTTGAGAACTGGCAGTAAATGAAAAATGAGAAGCATTTAATGTATATTTCTTTTTTGACGTTCATAAGTGTATATTGTGTTAGCTACATGAATAAATGATTTTTGACTTTTGATGCCAATAAACCATTAAGTATAATCTAAATAGAGAATTAAAATCTTTGATATCCTAAATGAAAAGGTTCATTACGCATTCCCAACTCAAAGTGTAGGAGTTTGTGGGTGTATTTTGCCCGAAGCAAAACAACTTTCAATTTTGAACTAAGACTTTATAAAAATATTTAAATTTAGAACTCGAAGGGCGTCCTTTAATATGCCTTTTTGCCCCTCGCCTTACACTACCGCAACTGACACATACTAAGATAGACCTACTCTAAATCTAAACCTAACAAATTTGGTTAACCACAGTAATGCTCAGTCGGGTTTTATACTTAGTATTTAATCTGAAGGGACAGTTTCACAATGTACGGATAAGTTCTACATAAGTTCCAAATTAGCTATTTATTACTTATTGGTAGGATAAAAACAATTGTTGCGTTTCACGATTGTCAGATAGCGCTATTCGTCACATAAAGTCCATCAAGTTAGGAGTCCGATGAAGTGTCAAATAGCACAATTTATCTTCCAAATAATTTATGTGTTGCATAACTATTTGGTACTTTATCCATACATTGTGAAATCAACCCTTAATCTATCTGTCTGACCATAACCACTATTTGCTGTTAAAAAATTCAATCGTTATAAAACATTCTCAGTCGAACCACTTTTATTTCATGTCAAACAGTACATTTCCATTTCCTTAGCGTCATTTCATTTGTTGCAAATAAATGCTCTCGCTTTTCCACGTTGAAGGCTTTTCTCCTGCAGTGACAAGTATCCTTTACTTATAAATATTTTATTGGATTTTCTTTTTACTTATCCCAGAGTTATTTATTCACTTCGCGGCTTGTTACACGGTCGTATAAGTCACAAATTAGAAGTGTCAATCTTCGTTATTTTAAATGGGAAGTTAAACTGACAATCGAATTTTGATTTACTTAAAAAATAATAAATTAAGTTTATTATACAGAGGTAACTTAAATGTGAGTTTAAGTTTTTTGTTTTTACCAATGTATCAGGGTGCCAAGCGTTGGCAAACTTTTTATTAATATAAATAAAAATATTCGGTCGCGGTCATTGAATAGCGTAGAGACATTTCGATGGAAAGATTTCATATGATACATAGGTTCATAAAATACTTAATTTATAATATTACTGTGGATATGGAAAATATATACGAAATAGATAAATTGTCAAAGATAGTTGAAGCGGCGATGCACACTAAAAGTACAAGATTTGTTCGCAAGTTTATAATTACCAGTCATAGTAGATCGAAGAACAGCTTGGCTGGCTAATGACAGCGCCTTGGGCAATTCATTTTCTTTTAAAGCAGCTTGTGCAGCAATCCGTCTTTCATAAGAAACTCTTGCATCTTTACCACGGTAGATAGGCTCTATACGTGAAAATACCGTTTGGAGAGTTGTCATTATCTGTAATTAAAAATAATGTTTAATAATTACATTTATGAATATCAAATTATAAAAGTGTTTAATTCAGTGTATAGTATTGTCTTTTATTGACATAACCTTTACACATTTAAAGAAAAAACTTTTTAACCGGATTAAAGTTATGTATTATTATAAATTTACAATTATTTAACATAATTTTAAATTTATCCGACGTTTCGCGTGCTTTACAGCGTGCGTGGTCACGGTGACTGATTACTGAAGACAAAAGGTGTTGGATGTCAAAAAAAATCACAACTGTAGAGAAAGTTGCATTATCTGTATTTATTTCCCCGGAGTTGGTATCGTTGGTACCAACCGAAAGTACTTGCGAAAGCAAAAAAGATTCGTCCCAAGATTGGTAAGCGAAGCCATTGAAATCAAAAAACACCCCAATTTCAATAGAGAAGACGGCATAAAATTGTCAAACAACCTCAAGAAAAACAATCCGCGAAAATAGAGGACACCGTGAGCCATTTTTGCCAAAACCCTCCATCTTTTAGTCGATACCAACTCCGGGGAAATAAATACAGATAATGCAACTTTCTCTAAAGCTGTGATACTTTTTGACATCCAACACCTTTTGTCTTCAGTAATCAGTCACCGTGACCACGCACGCTGTAAAGCACGCGAAACGTCGGATAAATTTAAAATTATGTTAAATAATTGTAAATTTATAATAATACATAACTTTAATCCGGTTAAAAAGTTTTTTCTTTTAATTCAGTGTATTTTTTTAAAATGGTGTACTCGCTCTAAGATTAGAAACTTGAGACCATTAGGATTAGGTAGTTAAACGTTAAAAGGAATAAAAATACGTATTACATTGTTAGAAAACTAGCTTTAACCTTTTCAGTTAAATACCTGTTCATTGAACTTCTCTTTTATTAACTTTTTTGTTATTAGGACAAAAAATGTAATAACTACAGATTGGTTTAGGCACATATAAAGATATTCAGATGGCGCCTTCCCTGCAATATGTGGACATAAGGTATACGAGTACTTACATATTATAAAATATGTACAGACACAATGTTGACCCTAAAGAAGAAGACTCATAGTACCCTTATCACAAAGTCTTTTCTATAAAATGGCTAAGCAATTATTATAAAAATATATTTCGCCATTGTCAGCATGGGATACAATTGAAAGGTATTTCGATAAGGTCATTACGATAATGTTAATGTTAGTCTATCAATGAGGGGTCAAACCATTTGTATAGAATACTTCGTAAAACGAAATGTTTAAACTTAACTTTTTGTTTAAAAAACGCGGAGTTTCTCTGCCAGTTTTTACATGGCAGAGAAACTCTGCGTATGTAGAAAGATATCTAAAAAACTTTCGCCCATCTAATTATTCTGGCCAACTTGTTCACTGCTTCCGTGTAGTTCCAATTACGGTTACGGAGCGTTAATTACGTTTTAAATACAATTATGTATGAGTACTGTTTTAGTATTGTTCGATTTAACATATTTTTAATCCTCCGGTAAGTAAAAGTAAAGTAAAAAAATCATTTTATCACATAGGTAACATAACTTATGACTTGTCAGTAAAGAAATACATATTAATGCTTCTAATTTTACATTTACTGCCAGTTCTCAAATCAAGGGGGTAGAACGGAAGAGAAGAACTGGCAATAAACTCTCCGCCACTCTTTTTAATCGCCATTTTTTTTACACAACGTTTGTAAGGAGCTGCAACCATAACACCATGTTCCACATGACATATCAAGTAATTAATAATAATAACATGATTTAAAAAAAACAAAGACTTGTCACACTGTCACACTTACATTCTCGTGGGAACAGGAGGAAGTGAATGCTAATTAATATATTAGATATTATAAATAGCTATAAAGTTAATAGCTTTAACTATATATCACCGTGTTATATTTGAGTTTATATGCTGAAAATGGTAAACACTTTAAATACGAAAACAGTGTCAATTTATACATATTTCACGTCGTTTCAGTAGACGGGAGCAACGATGTATGTCTAACCTGTTTACAAAATGTCATTAGTGATTTTCTTCACGTTTATCAAGAAATTTTCCCTTTAATTTGAAGTTTGAAAACAGGTCTGGAAAATAACGCGGGTATGTACCGGTTGAATGATTTCTTTTTTAAAGCTATTGTTTATGTACGATTAATTTGTAGTTTTAAATAAACGAAACGTGCAGCTCTCGAATATTTTGCGTTAACTTAATATTTTTATAAAAAAAATCGTCAATTAAACAAATTAAAATTGAGTAAAATTTAACAAATCTTGCTTTGCGAATCACGGGTAAACCAGGAAGTGTGTAACAACGTTAAGAATTGTTAATGTTACGAACGGGCGCGTCTAGACGCATCGTAGCAAAGACATGTCAGTCAAGCGTGGAGCCGACGGGCGGTGGCGTGTTGTCACTGGATTTAGACGGCTGCCAAAGTTCAACGGAAATTGCCTGGAATCGATATAGAGCCAATTTTTCACAAATAAACGAATTCCACCTTGCCTTTTTTTCTTATCCCAACCACCAAAGAATTTATTATAAAATAGTCTTTTACGCAATGGTGACCTATCATTTTCTAATGATTCCGACAGATTGCAATTTTAGGCTTATAAGGTGAGGACGAGATATATTAAAATGTTATCGCATTATCCAATCGACACATTTTCTTTCAAATTTTATTATTTCTGAATTATGGACAGCCGGTTTGAAGCTTTTGCGCCTGGAATTACACATAAAATACCAAGTTATAGCTAGAAATATTTGTTTCATAGATTGAATATAATATGTAATTCGCAGGAAAACCGTTTTAACATCGTTTGATAAGCAACAACAAAGGCACAAAACGGAACTAACTGGATGTTCTTTCTTTACAAGAGCCAAGGAACAAAAGCACTCCAGGCAATGTTCGTAATATTAAATTATAGGTTCCTGGAACCGTTTTAAAAATTAAAGCCATTTTTTATCGGAGGGCGGCATTATGTAAATAAAGTATTTTAAATTGGCTACACAATTGGAGTATAAAAATTGCTTGAATTGGCACACTTCTCAACCAATTCCCAGATAAGATCAAACCACTAGAACGAGTGAAATTGACACGGTTGAAAACGGATGTTCCAGCATAATCGGAAATTATTTTCACTTGGTAATATATATGAATTAAATTGTATTTTTTGGATTAAATTAGCAATGTAAATAAAATGGTGATAATTTAGATAAATATTTTTTTCTAAACTGAGCTAGTCTTGGCGATCGTATTGCCTTATTATGAATTAATTATATAACATAGAGTATACGTAACAAATTATATAGTAGTGAAATTCACATGATGCCTAAGTTATGAATTGTATATTTGTAGATCGAATAAGCAAAGTGAAATGACATGTTCAAAGCATTATTGAAAATAAATCCCAACCATCTTAATATATATATTTCTTCTGTGCGTGTGTATGTGACTGAACTCCTCTCAAACGACTGGACCGATTTTGATGAAATTTTTTGTGTGTGTTCAAGGGGATCTGGGAATGGTTTAGATTCACAAATCAGCCCGGCAGATGGCACTGCAGTCAGTACTTTCATACTTTGCTTAATATCCTAATCGCTTTAAATATCATGCAGGACAACGTCTGTGGGGTCCACTAGTAGTCGTATAAATTTCAGACGGTATCAGTATAAATTGACAACAATAAAACCGTATAAAACGTAGAAATAATAAGCACAGCGAGAACAAGTGGGAATGAGGATATTTGTTCGTTCGAATAAAACTGAGAGCAATTCTCAGTAGTTTGTTGCATCGCTCCCACGGGCACTTTAATGAGACCCGACGTCTCTAACAAACTCGCTAACCGTAGGTAAGTTATATCTAGATCTAGGACTGTTCGCAATCGTTTGAGCAATGAAGTTTCGCGTTGCTAGATATATCTAAGGTGTTTAATATTCTCTTATCTTGATCTATGGTATAAACTAATTTTTATACAGGGATATAGGAAAGGTTATATTTCTGTTTTACTGTTTATTTCTGATCTAAAAAAAATAAAACAGTGGCGCTACAAACCTTTTTTAGGTCTGGGCCTCAGATTTCTGTATGTATTTCAAGATAATTTCTTAATCTAGTAGGCAAGTAGGTGATCAGCCTCCTATGCCTGACGCACGCCGTCGACTTTTTGGGTCTAAGGTAAGCAGGTTTTCTCACGATATTTTCCTTCACCGTTCGAGCGAATATTAAATGCGCTCAACGAAAGAAATTCCATTGGTGCACAGCCATCTAACCTACGACCACAGGAATGAGAGTCGCACGCTGAAGCCATTAGGCCATCATGGCTCATTATTTCTGTTTTGATTTATTGGATAGCACTTCTTTTAAACAGAAATTAAAATATTTTTATCGGGAACCGAATTAACTACAAAGACAGTCGTGAGTATATTTTAAATAGTTAAGATTTATTTTAACAAGGAACAAAGAATCAGAAAGAAACCAGGAATCGAATCAACGTATCGAGGGTACCAGGTTTTGTATAGTAACTTTACGGCCTGGCCACGGGGATCGGCGGTGCGAACTGCGATGCGGGAGGCGAGGCGACCATTCGCGCGGGGCCGTTTGCAGGCCACGGACCAGTCACGATTGCCGCCGCGACCAGTAAGGAAGTTCGACAGCGAAATGTCTTTATCGAAATCATCTCGATATTGCTTGGAAAGTAATAGCTTTTGGTGCAAGACCTAATATTTGGAGAAATTGTGGAGAATTCCACAAGAAGTATGAGAAATTCAGAATATATCCAGAATTATTTTTTTGAGTATACCAGAATGAGTATTGAAACCTTCAATTATATTCTTATGAATATTCAACCAGAATTGGAGAAAAAAGTTAATGCAAATAGAATTTTAAGTGCCACTGAAAAATTGTTTTTGAGATTAAGGTATATTAAATTAATGCTGTGGATGGCCAGACTTCCAAATAGCTGGTCTAGCCAGTATTTCAGTAACAAAAAACTCTGTATTAATTTTTCGCCGCGACCACGACTAAACTTATTTATTGCCTTCTCTATTTGCCGCGATTGCCGCTCGACTCCGTGGCTTGCACCGTACTGATTCATGCATTTGTTTCGCTCGCCCGTCGCGACGTCAGTCGCCCGCGCGATTCGCTCGGTACATTTCGCCGGTCGTATCGCTGGTCGCCGTTGCGCGTGGCTTGATTAGTACATTGCTATGAGTTTATTTCAGTCGCTAGACGCATCGCGGTTCGCACCGCGCGAATATTCGCGTCGGCGAATGTCCCGTGGCCAGGCTGTTAGCTGGACATGAAGATTGAATTAATAGTGAAAATAAATAATCTAATTAGAATAGAGCTCAAGTTTTGATTTTTGGCCTATATAATTTTATGTTAACTTATTTATTTACTCCATACGTGATAGTACCTCCCACCTGGTTAAATATACTTCCACTGCACAATTTACCACAAAAAATGTTATATGGGCTATTGTTGCAGGACTGTTAATAATGCCACTTAACTTGTACTTATAGGTAAAAAAAACTCACACATTTAGTTGCATTTTATTAAAAGTGTAGGTCTTAAAATACTATTAGAACCAATCCAATCGTTCTTTACACTGATCAAAATAATAGTCGACAGCTGAAACAAGACTAGCGATAGAATAAATTATGTTTAAGAAATAGTGTTTGATAAGTGTGAATAGTGTAATACGCATGTAGTTGATTCATACACATTACACTAACTCACATGCAACACTCACGCGTGTTACGCGTCGCTAATGCTGTTAAAAATTAGACGAAGAATATGTTGTACGAGACAAATAAAAAAAAATCTAAATTGTAATTTAAAAAAATCATATATATGTATATATTATTTGTTATGGAAGAGCTGGGAGCACAGTATTTTTACTTAAAAGGGTTCCCTAATCCTACACATTGTTAAGCATACTTAGAATGAATAAACACGTTTTTATTTATATTATTTATTATACTTTTCGGCGACAATGACGTAAAATATAGAAACTAGAAAGCCTGGCAAATATTTTAATGACCTACCAAGTCCATTTTTTTTAATTAATAAAAAAAATATGTTTATTTTCGAACATAAGATACAGGTATCACTTATTCCACGTTATTAAATTTAAATCGGTAGACATCCCAACTCATCGGCAAAGAAGACAGAGGGTGTAGGCCGAGAGAAAAACCGTCGTAAAATACTGTCGGTACTCTTTTAAAATAGAAAATCATCAAACAAACCTTAATTTAAAACAAATATCGTAAATTAATTATAGGTAGCCTGTCTAGCTTTAGTCCCAGGCCCTTTTATAAATTAGATAATCATTAACTTTATAGTAAGCCTTTTTACACAGGATAAAAAATGTTTCGACATCAGCAGCATGACCCCTATAGATGAATAATAAGCTAATAATAATAACACGATTAATAGATCGACTATTCGGGCTACAGAAGATTAAACGCAATCAATTAAGATGCATCTTCAAGAAGAATTTACTGACAGTAAGTAAATGCGAAGTCTTCTTTATTTGTCGATTAGCGCTAATTGAAAAGTATTAATTAATCCGTTGCTATAAAATACTTTTGTAACGTTTTTTAAATGTAATGTGTCTTTGTTCAATAAAGAGTGTATAATTCGTTTTTGATTAAGGTGAGTTCACTGCTGCGATAAAAACACAGCCGAGTATAAAGGTGGGAACTGACCAGCGTTGCCAGATTTCTTCTTTGTCAAGTCGGGATTTTGGCACTTTTAAAGTAAAAAAAGCGGGATTCATTTGTCGAAAGCGAGACATAGTAAAAAATTAAATAATCAGAAGTTTTTAAATATTTATGTTTTTAATTGAGTTCAAATCACGTTTGCGTGACAATAGATAGCGAAAATAGTCACAGAAAATGTATTTAAATCAGATTAAACCTATCGTTACATAGTCGTTATTCCTCTTTTGATTAAAAAACAAAAAAATCAAAATAAAAAAAGATTTATTTATTAGAAAAATATAGCGTTTCCAACAATACTCTGAAGAGCGAGTGTTTCAAATTGCAACCTACAATAAGACAGTAATTATTTATAATAATTACTTATTCATTATATTTCTATGAAGATGAGATGATATGAGAACTTCTTCAAAAAGTTTCATTTTGCTCTTTAAAAAAGACGAAGAACTCTTCACAGGATAGCTGCAGATTAAACTTGATGAGTAACTCTGATTTCATTAAATTTACGTAGCATTTCTAAAAGAAGGCGCTCTGGAAAGCAGTTTGATGTTGGGATACTTAATATAAAGTTTGAAGATAATTCTGGTATTTTTTTTTGGATACTGTTGAAAGACTTGGTGCCATTACTGTGCGGTGGTGTCTGTACACACTTCTCAGTGCCATCGAGTTATTCCCGAAAAGCGGGACTAAGCCGGTCCCGCGCGGGACATTTCATTTTGATTTAAAAATCGGGACGTCCCGCCAAAATCGGGACGTCTGGCAACGCTGGAACTGACCAAAGTTACGAGGTGTAATGTAGCATTCGCATCGAGCGTGTTCCGCATCGAGCATGTTACGCTGTGTTTAAAAATCGGCGTAACATGCTCGTCAAAACTCTGTGCTCCGCTTTCTATTTAATTATTGTTTCATCCAAATTAAGAAGGAGAAGAAAAAATTTAACTGGACATCAAACTTATTTAAAAACACAGGCGTATGAGGTGGTTTGTTATTGATTGCAATATTAAAAAACCAAATGATTACTGGACAGTATAAAAACTTTGTACGCAAGTCTCGATTTTGAGGAACTGTTGAATTTAATTGGACCAAAAGTACTTAAATAAGACAAAATTTATAGAAAATCATAATCACGATCACTCGCGACGTGCGACGCGTACTGACTGAACCGCGTAACAGTCAAAGGATTCGCTAAAAAACCGACAGCCGGGTGGAGCACTCAAAGCGAGCAACGAGAGGCTCGTTGCTCGCTGGTTTCCCCGTAACACAACGTACTGACTGCTCGAATGCTCGCTGTGTAACGTGTTACATTACACCTCGTAACTTGGGTCAGTTCCCACCTTTACAGTGTATTAACTCATACCAAAGCTTTTAAATTTAAAATTAGTTTTCGTTTTACATGTTACACATACAAATTGTACTCTAAAGGTGGCGACTGACATCGAATTTTCGGTCGATGTGAATATTGGCATGAATATTTGTTCGTTGTGAGCATGCTCGCAACAATGCTCACAACACCTGAATATTCGCGATTCGCCTGTGCTCCATCCCTGATCCCATTCACAGTTGCAGTCAAAATGGCGGACGTATAGGTGGTGGCGACTGACGTGTAATGTAACATTCAAAGGGATTCGCCAAAAAACAGACAGCTGAGTGGAGCGCGCTCGGGCGCTCGGCGCTCGTATCGAGCTACTCGGCTCGATGTACTGATATGCCGAATATTCGACTTGTAACGTGCTCACATCGAGCGAATATTCAATGTCAGTCGCCACCTTTAAAATAACAATACGAGTATTAAAAACTTTTATATACTTATTACTTTCTGTATTTAAACTCAATATAAGTAATATTATATTGTGTGAGCGATTCTACAATACAACAAAGCAATAGTGAGACAACTTCAACGCCTAAGCCCTAACAGCTGCGACGTGAGTTTCCAAGAACTAACCAAGATCTAAGTCCTACTTTATTGATTTAACTAGAACTTGTTCGACGTCTTAATTATTTATTCCGTGTAACATCTCAGCTTTATGGATCGCTGAACAATTCCAATAGATATTATGCGTTAGTGTTTATACCGACTTAAAACTAATTTATGATTTATTACTTACTGCGAAAGCTTGTAAATATGCTTACGTAGCTTTTGTATTTTGGCAACTATATTTTAATTGGAACGCCTATGTAATATTATACTTTAAAAAAATCTATTGGTTTCAGTCGGTACTTTTTGTGTCGCGTGCAGACCGACATTCGCAGAGTGCCTTTATTTTACAAACTATGTGTGTCATTTGAATTATTTCACTAGAAATCGTGCCCAGGGCATTACAAACTGAGCCATAGCGAATTCACTATATTTCTTCAAACGAAATGCTATTTAATATTAGACTTTTCTCGTAATAAAGTATATATTAAGAATTTATCGAGTGTTAACTCGCGCGTCCTCTTTCGAACATCCTTCAACACTCGATAGATGTTATTGAATTCCTTCCTAACTTCGCTAACTTCTGTAAGATTTTATTTCACTGAAATTATTATCATACATTTTTTACCTCATTGCATTTGTCGTATTACAATGAAAATTGAATTTACTTATTGTCTTTATACTAATAATAATTTTTATACAGTTTATGTTATATACATTTTTATTCTTTTTATTCGATGATCTTCCTTCAGTACCATTGATCGGAATCGGTTCTCATTTTCCATTCGCTTCCTACTATCGCTTTTCTACCCATCTTTTTTTAGGGCGCCCTCTAGAAGGAGAATACTCCTTCTTCCCCTTGATCTTGTCTTGATCTTGGTTGGATTGTCGGAGAGTACCTCCGAAAAAAGATAAATTTGTATATAAGGCAGTCTCTCTGTCCGTATGTCAATATAAAAGCTAAATGAAAATCCCCTAATGTGAGTTTGAGCTCGTGTACACTAATTTATTAAAAAATCTTTTGTGTTTTTTAACAAGCGAGCGTAGTTTCAATATTAATTGTTTGTTTCATTTATTGCGCTTATTTTTGGAACGGGTTTGAATTGAAATATTTATTATATTTATCGGTATAAAAAGTCTATACCTAACAACGCGGAATTATGAAGGTATTTTCTATAGGTATTATTATTAATATCTTATTACTCTTTAATGAAGCTGACTCGACTGCAGGTAATTGGTTCTCAGAATTGTATCGTGGGGTCAAAAGGAACATGCCACTTCAAGTTTTTTGAGCACCTCAGCTTGCTTAATACCGTGTTGTACATCCCTCCCAAGATAGTATAAAAGAATATAGAATGCCCTAGTATCTCTGGTGCAGACGCTTATACGCTGGACAATATTATTGTGCACATCTACCAAGTACATACCGTTTCATTTCCCATAACAGCCTTAACCTTGCTGCGTTCATCGATTTCGTCAAATGTGTTCAAAAAGCCGGTGGATTCCGCGATAGATACTACTTCATTCGCTAAGTCTTTGAAGAACCCTTTCTTGTTAGAGCAAACTGTGACGTCACTGCATGCTTCAGCATAGCCTGAGTCCACTTCGTCGTATATTCTTGACATCTGAAATATTTTGGGTATTTCGTTATTAAAAAAATAGAATGTAAAACTCTACGTACACTGACTGCAGCGTGGTCTGATGATTCTTAAGATGCTAATATAATACTGCTCGGACAGACTGCCATTTTTGGGCGTCCCGTAAGCCTGTTTGTTTTCAAAATTTTTAAATGTTAGAAATACAGCTTGTACCCATTGTAAAAATGCCAACTTGATATCCAACAACACTAAACAATCAGCTTAGAAATGGCAGGCACTTTACACTTTGACTTTTGTAGATGCAGCGTTTCTGAGAAATATAATTATCTTCCTTTCGAGATAATGAACGAAGCTTTGTTGTACGTAAATAAATATGAAATTTCTCTATAATTTGAAGCGTTGCCGGAACTGTCTGTTGAAAGATAAATTCTATTGCATTTATATTTCCGTACAAAATTATTGAACGAACAATGTTTAATTAAAAGTCCTGCGCTCACTGATTGCAGTGAGTGGCAAATTAGAACCTTTACACGCTCTAACATAAATTAATTCAATATTAACTCGCACAAACTAAAAACGTGCTGAATAAGTAGGGATTATAACAAAAGTATGTTTCGTTATATTTTTCCTTTATTGGCCAGTTGATCAGCTTTCTGTTGCTGACATACGTCGTCCTTTTTTGGGTCTAAGGGTAAGGTTTAGAGTCGAGTATCGAAATCCAATAAGTTTTTGACAGACAGGTGTTTAAATTCATGCAAGTTTTCGCCATCCGGACTAGTGTTTCCGCAAGTAGAAAGAATAATACTTAACTTCTAAATCTACCTTTAACTTCTACCTTCTAATCTAAATAAGTATGCATATTTATCCCTCGTAAATAACTACATAAATGTTGATAAACGAGGTGATTAGAAACTATGCGTTATGTGACATTACATTAAACTGATTAGTGTAGTGACAAAAAATCGTATGTATGTAATTAATTACTTGTAAGTTACTAGGTCCAATCAGACCCAGGACCTCTGAGATTAACGCGAGGTTTGTTAACTAATTAGCCACGGAGGCTCATCCTTTAATTTATGTAATTAAAACAAATCAAAATAGTCAGTAATGGCGTGAAGGTTCCTTGCTACAAACGTAAAATATTGTCTGTGGTACTGGCAGACATAGTATTCGGCTTATCCTTTGCGTCGAGTTATATCAATTACTAATTTCACTTAATTAGTATAAGCTCAGTTCAAGTTAGCTTAGCTGCGTCTATAGCGCAAACAATATATCCGTGGCAGGCAAACCCCACTCTAAAATCTGATCTGACTACCAGAGTCAGGATGCTAGATAGAAGAAGATACTCTGGTTCGCTGGAGAGCACCTCTAGTTCAATAACAGGCACGAGGATTCGGTCCAACTATAAACAAACAAAATGCGCCGTTGTTTTGTATTTAGAAGCATGGACATTTAATGAACCATAATGTGAGATTTACGGGACGCGGAATTCCTTGTCCTTCGATCTTAAATGATGCTCATGATCACGAAATATATAAAAGCCCACGCTTATTATTATTATTAAAATAATATTTATCCGAATGATGTAGTGTGAAAGACATACTTTATCTAATTTAAATACCAGAAGCGATTAAATTATTTATTGTCATTTAGGAATCAATTACTACCGAATGTGCATTTGAAATAAATTATCAACTTTTATTGTTGGCTTAAACATAATATATTAAAGATATATACTGTGGTGGGCTTTTTGTAGGACTATATAAGATAAACATTTCCATCTTACATTACATATGTACAACTCTAGGATTTTTTGGCAACGCACGCCAGAATAGCTCGCTGATTGTAATTTTGTTCCTACTTACTTGATATTTTGGACAATTCACACAAACAAATTATAATAGAAGTAAGAAAATGTTGCGTATTTAAATTTGTTTTCTCTTTATAATTAGTTTTGAGTATGTCTGTTTATTCATGATTATATGAAGAATTCTGGCCGGTCAATTGTGGATGTCAAATCCATGTCAAAAGTATGCCGGATTCACGATGGCGGCGCAGAAATTTAATCGCTTGGATAAATTTAGCTAGGCACTTGACTGCTTGCTGCAAATGTCAGAAGTAACATTCCTAAATTGTTTGATCTATTTATTATTCCATTAAAGATATTTGCTGCAAAACAAAATCCATATTTCAAACCTGTAACAGCCTGGTCTACTTCGACAGTTTTACTTCACAAAATTTTCCGAAAGCAAATGCCACTATAAATAATATTCTCGCTTTCTTCAGGGACCCGATCACCGTCAACCTGGGAAGCCATTAAGGTAACTGGGTCATATGTCAATATGTACGCGTCTGTTTCTTTTTTAAACCGACTAAGAAGAAAAAACAAAAGAAAGGGTTTACAATTTGACGTGATTTGAGCAGTTGAGTTTCTATTATCCACTCTTAAATCTGTGTACGGTACAAAAAAGGGTGCACGCTCTTTTATGCTACGTGATAACTAGGAGTATTAGATGTTTATATAAAATGTTCGGCGTACGACTTGTAATTACTTATTGGCAAAAAAAACATAAATTTACACATAAATAATATTCTTATTTCTACTAATTTATTTTCACTTGAAGTACATCTTAAAATTTCAACTGCAAAATAGGGAGTTAAATCCTACACAAACAACTTCAAAGTGTAGGTGGTGTAACTTGATACTTTTATATATATTAATGAGCTTTTTCAATCTTAAGATTTCTCTCGTAGGATTTCTTCCCACACAAATTATCCATTATATTGTTGAAGTAACAATAATTAATGTTTATTGTTAAAAAAAATATAATCATACTATGTACTGAAATTAAACTATAATTTATGATAAGTTAAGACTTTGAATATACAGCAATAAGATGTGTGTGTGAAATTCCATATTCTAAATCTGTTAATGTCTCGTCACATGAATTACTATATTAGTACTGATTTAACTTAAACGATATGCATAAGAACATACTCAAAAGTAGGAAGAAAATTGCTCACGTTAACATAAGAGTTTTTACGTTCGGTAGTTTTGGGTTTTATCTTATTCGACCGACCAGGGAACTTACTGTTTTTCGTCTTCGACATACGTTTATCGGGAATAGCCAGACAATTTTACCGTTCCCACCACGTGAAAGGATTAACCATTCCGTCAGCCACACACACCATCCTAGTACAACGTCGTTTGATGTTATTCCACTTTCAGATAGTCAAAATTTAAAAGGTCTAGTCTGGCCCAGTTACCGTCACTATAGGTCAAGCACTAAGCTGAACGAGAACGATAAGGGACGCAAAGAGGTTTTAGGAAAAGCAATTTTAAGGGGTAACATGCATAGAAACGGAAAAAGTAAATTTGCGCTTTTGGGTACATATTAACTTCAATCGGCACAATGCATTTATAAAATACCAAAGGTTAATTTCAATCTACAAAGATGTTAAGCGCGCTTCTACATTTGCCGTTATATTTCAATATAAATATAAATGTACTATAACACATCGGAGTCCATATTTTATTTATATCGTTTGGGGTCAAAACACACTCATGCTACTCAGTACAGATTTACTGTTAAAAACAATTTTACCTTTGTTTTGTTCGTTGTGAGCGGCTCGACACTTCTAATACATCTAAAACCGCTACTAATTATAGATCAGCCGCAGATACTTACGCATTCTATTTCTAATGATGAGATTGCTACCAGCGCCATCTCTTGAAGATTTCGTGAGACACTTAAGATCTATCATTAGCCATAATACAATTGTTATTTATATAATATAATTTAACGCTAATGCAAAAAGGTAAACACTATTTAATTTTATATACAATATCTGCATACAATTTACTTTTACTATTTTTACAATATTCCTGATGTCTGTATATCAAAGCAAATCAAGTCATGCGTTTGTTGAGCTCTGTACGTTCTGGTGAGTTTTAGCAAATAAATATTCGCATTAATTTACGTAATAGTCGTAATATTCATTTGGCATTTTGGCAAAATACATTTTACTGCATTTAACAACTCGCAGGAAACTTGATGATTTTATCGCTGCCGCACTGCGAGGCTGTTTGACAGTTGGTCAATTGCTCAGCGGGTCTGCCTCTAGTGTCATAGATAATAATTTATTCTACGATAATGAACACTTCACATTGAAAAACAATATACTTTTCAGTAAAGTCCGGCTGATTGCAAGAGAAAAAGTTTGTGTTTTCAATTCTAATCTTCTTCCCTTACGTCACTTTATATTAAAGTACATATACTTTTTTACAGCGTAAAACTGGTTTCATGTTAACTTTTCAAAATCATCTGCAATATCTATTATATTTGAGACTTGAACGAAGGGTGTTTACCTTTTCAATTTTCTATCAAAACTGAAGACGCATCAAGAGTCAACATGATACATTTAAACTTAACATTAATTCTAGGAACTACTCTGGCGTTCTTCAGGGCACATTCCTTGGACCCTTGCTCTTCTCTTTATTTATTAACGATATATCTAATTACTTTCCACACTGCAAGTACTTTACGCATGCATCTAAACAATATAAATCAGAGCACTATCCGATGTGATTTTCATTCAGGAAGACCTTGATTTGTGAAGTTTGCTGGAAGCTCGACGACAACGACTAACCAATTAACAATACAGCAAGTGTCAGCATGGCGTCTTTACGACAAATTCACATTATGTAATCCCGTCCAAGTTCACTCTTGGAGACTATTCTTTTGGACCTGTTTTCTCCGGCAGGGAGCTTGAAGTCTTTGTCAACTCTAAACTTACTCTAGACAAAAACATGAGTAGTTCATGTAAGTAATGATTAGGATGAATCTTCAATGATAACCACATACACTTATCGGTTATCCTCTATAAAGCGGTTGTGGAGTCCCAGTTGAAATGCTTGTCCAATCTGAAACTTTCATTCCGCCATATATGACATGCGTTACAACTGGAATCTGTAAAAAACAAATTCCTGGGGGTTTCAAACTTTCGCATAAATTATAAGGCCGAAT